TTATTTCTGCTGCAGACAGTTGCAGACAGTTTCCACGTATACGTGTTTAATTAGGCAGCTGTTTTCCCGCACCGAGCGCCCATGGATCATAGTCGATTATATTGTCATAATATTGTCAGCATCTATAAAATGACAAAATAATCGATTATAATCCATTAAAAATGGATTATAATCCTAATATTTTTTATCCCAATAAAATTCATTATAATCGATTATAATCGATTATAATGGATTTTTTCGAGGGGTTATTCATGAATTTTACAATTTTGTTCGAAATTATTTTATTTCCTGTTTAGTGTAGTTGCTACGTGTTGTTTCACAAAATGTTACATTTCAGAAAAAAAATTATATATTTTTTGTCTCTACTTTTTCTAATTCATCGCAGTTTAACACTTCATTTTACAGTTTTTTTTACCACAACCCTCCTCCCCCCACCCCCAATTTACCAACCAATCCCCCCCCCCAGTTTACCAAAACCCCCCCCCCCCCCCCCAGTTTACCAAACCCCCCGCCCCCCTCCAGTTTACCCCTCCCCTCCAGCCAGTTAAGCCCCCAGTATACTACAACCCACCAGTTTACTAGTCCTCCACCCCCAGTTTACCCCCTCCCACCATTTACCCCCCCCCCCCCCACCCTCCAGTTTACCCTGCCCCTTTAGATGGGGGGGGGTGGTAAAAAACTTCACGGGGCGAGGGGATGACCAGTTTAACCCCCCCCCCCCCGTTTTACTTCCCCATCCCCCAGTTTATACACCCCAGTTTACACCCCTCCCCCCAGTTTACCATGCTCCTTTAGTTAGGGAGGGGGGTGGGTAAAAAGCTTGAGGGGGCGAGGGGACGAAGTTGAGACATGGCATTTAGTAAAAGACAGGGCATAAATTCTGCAAACTTTTCGCAAAATTTGCAAAATTTTGCAAAATTAATCGATCGAAATTAGTTCTAAAAATGAAATGGATTATAATCAATTATAATGGATTATAATGGATTTTCATTTCAAAATAATTGATTATAATGGATTATCTTGGCAAAAATAGTCGATTTCAGTGACAAAAATAATGGATTATAATCGATTATAATGGATTATAATGGATTATTTTTGTTCAAAAATAATCGATTATAATGGCTATATAATCGATTTACCAAATTGGGAAAACCAGTAATGGATTATAATCAATTATTTTTGTCTCGGGAATCCATTATAATCGATTAGAATCCATGGGCGCTCGGTGCGGGTTCTATCTTAGAAACACCATTATGCTGTTATCTATAACTAATATTTCAACTGAGGCATTTGGTGTCAAAAACATGTAGTAATATAGGGTGTAATGCCTTATGCGCGAAGGACCGAATGCGCGAAAATATAAATCAGCCAATCAGATTTCAATAATCTAAAATTTGGAAAGAAAGAAAACATTTCCAGGGACTGGAGTATTGATATTGGCCGAATATAAAACGACAGAAATATGCAAAATTTTCAAATTGTCCTTGACCGCCGCAAAAATGGGACGAATTTTACATTTCAAGGGTTTCGTAATGAAAGAAGCAAAATATGTCTTCATTTTAATTGAGTTTAATTGATTGGCAATTATTTCGTTTTAAAAACTGATTTTCGGCTAATTTTGTCTTGGGCCTTTGGAGTACGAGTTTTTTCGCTCAATCGGTCCTTCACGTATGAGAATAGCCCCCATAATATAGTTGAAACAGATAGAAGTAGTAGTTGAACCAACGCTGATCACAGCGGAAAACATGAGGAAATAACCTTGACCAAACATTTTGCCCATTAAAAGCAAATGTTTTCTCCCAGACAAGAATACCCGCACCCAATTTCAAGCGTTATAAATCAATTATAATATGATTTTAGCTTCAGTCCTACAAAAATTAAGAAAAAATTGATTTTAATTAATTAAAAATCGATTATAATCTTTTTTTTGAAATTAAATATAAAAAATTATAATACATTATAATCAATTACAATTGATTCTTTTTATCAAAATTTCTGATACATTTATTTTGCAGAAAAACAGATTATAATCGATTATAATCTTTAATAATTTCACGAAAAATGTTGTCATTATAATGTATCATAACACGTTTAAGCATCTAAAATTGGCGCTTATAATTAAAAATAATTTTGAAAAAAGTACAAATATAATTGCAATATAATCGATTATTTTCTTTTTTACTGAGTGCGGGTAATTTAATTAGGTTTTCCGAAAACTCTTCTGGCACTCATACAAAGAAAATTTAAGTTAGGAGTTGTGTAATTATCAAAATTTTAAGTTTCATTTTAACAAAAGAAAACAGACTGTGTAGCTATTGTCAATGTTCTTTTGAGTTGCTTCATTCAAGAGTAGAGTAGCTTGTACTGAAGAGAAATTTTTCGAAACCAAATTAAGGTTTTCACAAATTTTGTTTATCTTTAATAAAAAGATTTTATTCCTAATAACAAAAAAAATCTAAAGAAGTTTACTCAGGCAGTTGGGACAGATATTAGATATCATATTTTTGTCAGCAGATTCATTGATTGGCTTTGCTTTGGCAAAATTGAATAATGCTGGAAAAATCCTTCTGTTAAAATTATTAAAAGTTTTAAAATGTGCTGACAGCACACTGGCCAAAGGTTTCAAAACTGTGTTGTTAAATGCATCAACAATTTCTAAGCCTGAGTATTTAAATTAATTTCTGAGTAATTAAAATTCGATGATTCGTATTGGAAAAATCAAAAAAATCATTCATCCTTGTTCTCTGAAATTAAGTGGCAAATTTCGCGAATAATTGAAGTGCAAAAAGTTTGAGATGCAAGTGCCACTAAAATTACAAGGAAAACGGGTTGCTGGGCAAGTAGCAGTGTTCCGACCATACTATAGTAAATTAAACAAAAAAGGCATTTCCATGTTCTTTTCGAGTTAGTGTTATTGCTACTGCGACGATGAAATCTGATGAAAAGCTAGAAATTAGGCCTTTTTGACAGAAATTAGGCCTAAAGTAAACAAATTGTGGAACGGTTTTAGTCGAAAAAAGCGAAGAAAAAATAAAAAAAGTCCATTTTCTTGCAATTTTTTAAAATTTTTAATTTGAATAAAAAACTCCGAAGAAGGCAAAAAACTTCAAAGCGTAATAACGCAGGAGCCAAATTAAATCTTTATGGTGCATTTTTCTAAACTAAACCTTCTAAATTAAATTACAGAAAAATTTAATATCAAAGCATATAACATCTCGTAAATCTTTGCATATTCATCAAAATTCACACTGTTATCTCTATATTTGAAAAAGTATATGCATATCGCATAATCTCATCTATTTGTTTATATTTCCACATGAATTGATTTTACAAAAAATTTTGATTCCACGAAAATTTTATTCCACGAAAAATGATTCACGAAAATTTTAAGAGTAGACAAGGCAAGAGAAAGCTAAAAATGTATATATTTAATGATGAATTTAGCATAACTTTTGCATAAACTTTCTGAACAGAATTTTATTTTTTTGTCTGTGTTTTCAGAATTCGGATCCTAAAAAACTGATATCAGTCTTTTTGGAGAAAAAATGCTTTTCAATGTATGAACAGCGTATGACAAGCTTTTTTTCGCAAATGCAAATATCCGCAAATGAATAAATATTTGATCGTAAACTCACTTCGATCCCCAAACAAACATTTTACGGAAAAAAAAATTGGCACGCGAAATCTTTTTTTTGTAACAAAGTCTAGGCTGAACCTGGACCAGAAGGAGTTTTTTGTATAGCCACTAGGTGTGTTTTTGGTTCTTATATGTTAAAGACCAACCCACATCTGAAAAGCTTAAGTCACTACTTCCAACATTTAATCTTTTCATGCTTGACGTTTTCTAGCCCTAGAAAAAAATGTTTTTTTTTTATAAGTAATTCTGTGTAAGAAAAGATATCTTTAATTAAAATGACAAATCGCCAAATGCAGTTTGCTTATTATGTTCTTGTCTATGATTTTTTTTGTATGAGAAACCATTGGTTGTTGTGTTTTTCGACAATGCACATATTTTTAAAGCGATACTCGAATTATTTTTAGATTTCAATTATGGAAAAATTCTAGTCATACACCTTTCACGTATGAAATTTTTCTTACGATACAAAGTTCCTGAATAAAAAAACTAATTATAGGTTGCATTCATGTTTTTGTGCGTATGAACTTGTATCAAATTGCACGATACGATTTTTTTCGTTAATGAAAATTGTATGATCAGAAGTTTTGGCTAACACGATAGCTTAATCCAGTATTAGTCCTTTTTTGTACTATTTTGAGATATTCATTTTCAGCTGAAATGGACCCTAAAATTTTGCTAAGTGCGCCTTTGGCGCCAACATTCACCAAATTTGAGGGGAAGGTCGCGCCGAAGAAAACCCAATTATTTTCCAAAAAGAGGCTAAAAACAATTTTTTTGTCCTATTTTTTCAAATTTTTGCTTGCGGCACAGAAAGTTTGCCCAATACAGGATTTTTTTACTGCTTTGGGAGAGCTCGAAAAATCAATTTAGTCAACTTAAAAAAACTTCGAAAAAATTTTCGAAAAATTTTTGAGGATCCGCCCCCCCCCCCCCCCCCCCTCGGGAAAATACTAGATCCGCCCCTGACTTAGAAGATAGTAGGTTCACCAATGATGCAATAGCGAACTGATTTTACTTGCCACTCGAAAAAAGTTTTCAAAAGCTTTCATCGCAGTTCGAACTCAACAGGGTTCAACATGATTTATCACTCGACCCATCTGACACTTATTTACGGTGCCGGACTTTGCGTGAATAAAAAATCGAATACAAAGATCCTGCCCACCTTCAAATTGGGTGAAAACCTAATTTTAAGTCGACAAATGCTTTATTCGGAGCACAACGCTATGAGTGCTTTAATATTTGCCTCAGAAGTGCGTTAAGTATTCCAAAGTTACAATGAACTGTTGCTGATTGTTCGAACTGAAAAAAAAACATTTATACCTATTTTATATTCATTGCATTGTTTGACCATTAAAAGTATAGTTATATACATTCATGATTTGAAGTATATGAGCGGTTCTTTTCTGTTTTAAATAAAGCTCGAACGTCATTAAACTTTTTGTTAAGCCGACAAATTTATCGTACTGTAGCTTGTGTGAGACATTTCAATGTTGCGAGAGTCAATTAATTTGTACTGTGCTTCTTTATTCAACTTCTAGGAATAAATTTCCACTGATTTCTGATTTTTTTCCTGCTATATTTTCCTCCTCAATCTGAAAAAAAACAATCAACTTTAAAATTTGACGTCAATGTTGATACATAAATCATAAATTATCTTGAATTAAAGTTCGATTTTAAATATTTCCACTGACGGGCGTTTTACCCAGTGACTAAGTCTCTTCGGTCATAATTTTGAACTGCAAACATACCCTTTACATTTATCATTCAAAACAAAGTCTCCGATAATTAAGATTAGACTTATTTGAAACCAATAGTTCAAACTCCCATTCAAACTTCATAAATTGAAACTCATTACCCCATATCAGCGATTACCAATTTCATTGAGTATGAATTGCAGAAACATTTACAGGTTTGGTTGAACTTAAGCTTGCAATTTGGAGCTAAAGTTTTCGTCTTTACAAGGTTTGATAAGTTTTGACATTTTTGTCTAAAATGGAGAATATATCTTCAAATCCTTACGTGGAAGGTGGACTTTTATATGTGGAGTCTTCTCTGAAAGTTGTGGAAGACAAATTATCGAGTTACGAGAGATGGCAAGTTGCCGTGGCTACGTGTTTGATGTCAGTTCTGGTCACCTACATTTACTGCTGGATCACTCAGTTCATAAGAGAGGGTTACGAAGGTAAGTGTCTAACAACTGTGAATTTAGCAACACGAAAAAGCCGTATTTTTGCCAAAGATAAGCCTAAAACTGCTGGTTTTCCTGCCAAAAATCCTTATGAAAAAAAGGTTCTTTCTGACAGCTGACAGCAGTTAAATAGTTAAATGGAATCCCGAATTGAGACTCGCATATCTCGATGAGAGAGGCGGATATTCCGAGCGCTCCCAGAACAATGACCCTATTTTCACAAAATTTTTGCACCCTAGGCAAATTTTTGAGAAAAAAAAAACTGGTCGAAAACGGGTCAAAAAGTTTGCCCAAAGTTTGCGTTTTTTCGGCGAGCGCTCCCCTTCACAATTAGACTATATTAGCGCCAAAGGCTCCTTCTGAGAAATTTTAGGCTCGGTCGGCCAAAAATTAATGTCACAAAATAAAACAAATTTTTCATCTAACAGTAATGAATAATTATATATAATAATGGACAAAATAATAGTTTTAGTTTTAATTGGTAAATAACTTACTTTTAGGGGTATTTTTGAGCTTAAGCTGAAAACTTGCGACTGATTTTTGTATCAGTCTTGAGCGGTTAAAATCATGTTTTCACTCTTTGCAAGATTTAAGCTTTATATATCAAAATCGTGGCTTTTTCGTTGTAAAAACGCCACTCTCTTTCATCTTCAGTAAAGCTTTATGGGCGGGAAAAGTTTGCCATGAAAACGAGCAGTTGGTTGGTTAATTTAGTTAAAATAGAACAAGCGTTTTGTAAGTATGAGAATTCTCTCAATCAGGGGCGGTTCTAGGATTTTGTCGAGAGGGGGGATTTTTCGAGCGCTCTCAGAACACTATAAAGGCCTATTTCGAAAAAATTTTCTGCGACGCTGACAAATTTTGAACAGTTTTTGGACAATTTTGACCAAAAAAATTGCGTTTTTTCAGCGCGCTCTCCCATTCAAAATTAGTATATTTTAGCGCCAAAGGAGCCTTTAAAAAATTTAAGGGTTGGTCGGCCAAAAATGGATTTCATGAAAAAAAAACCAAATATGGGAGCATACAATCAAGCACACAATTTTATATTTTGAGTAAGTGAAACATGAGAATAACTGCTCATGACTGAATAGAAAGATATTTGTAACTTACAAGTCAGCAGGATCCAAAAAAAACCTGGAAGCTAATAATTATATCTATGAAAGATGCAAAGTTCCAATCGCTTTTGCCCTTCAGCAGCCCTAACACCTCCAAAAATCATTTTTTTAAGTTATTCTTCAAACAATAATAGCTTTCTGAACATTCAGGGCAGTTGTTCGGCATCCCGACTTACTAGTGTATCAAAAACTAAGTCCATAAGCATTTGTTTTAGTTTCGTCCGTTCGAGTGACAAAATGGATGTTCAAAACACTCAGAAGTCTTCCTATCGTCAAAGGAAAGGTGAGTTTTTTTCGAAGCACACCACTTATTTTTATTGTTCTTATTTTGTATGAAGTTTAAGTTTTTAAGCTTCAATTTTATTTGCATTGTACCAGTTTGAAGCAATTCCGACAGTAGAGAAAAATTATTTGAAAAACAAATTTGTTCAGTCTGAATTTCTTTGACCTCTAGGTGAAGGAGAAGATAGAAGAAGTGAGACATGACATCAACACGACCTCCTTCCGACTGAAGACAGACATGGTGTACATGACTGAACTACCCAAGGGGGGCATGACTGTTGACCAGGTCATGGACAAACTCAAACACTACAACACACTTGGTACTCATTCAGAGAGTTCCTAGATCCAAAAAATTTAATACAAATGAGAAGTATGGTACAATCTCCCTATTGCAATCTATACATCGCCCATCTATAGTGCGAAGATTAAGTTTAAAGTTTAGAGGATGTCCTCACTTCATATTTAGGGTATGTCCTCAAGGAGGATATAGAGTAAATTCAAAGACTCATTACTCATGTTGTCGACATTTTTTATACCAACCAAATTAAATTTCCGGTAATTTCCTTAAAAAACTATTTTTCCGAATTTTTCTGTTAACTTTTGAAAAAAAATATGTGCTGCAATGTCCCTTTTGGGCACTTTTTAGAAGGTTTTGAGCAAAAAAATTGCGTTCGCTTTTCCCTCCGAACTAGTATATATTGGCAGCAAAGACTCTTTGACAAATATTTTAGGGCCGGGCGATGTCATTAAAAAGTACTAAAAGGCTTTTAATATCTTTTTTTTCGAAAAAATATAAGTTTCATTAATAGCTTTTTCGCTTTCAGACGAGCACGTGGACAAGAAGCTGTCGGGCCAAGTGTATCAAAACAACGAGGAAATAGTCGACCTCACTGCTAAGGTAAAGCAGTCATTGCTAATACTTCTGCAATCTCAGGTGTTTTTCTTTCTTTATCATCGACTCTTCCACTCTCATTCCACGATGCTCAAAGTTTGCAAAATTACAGAAAATTGTCAAAATCTGATCCAAAAATTTTCAAAATTTTTAATATCAGGTAAGAAGTTCAACTGATCCCATTAGATAGCTTAAATCATATTGACTTTTGTAGAGTTACTGATTCGAGGAATCTTGAAAAAAAAACGTTCTCATGACCTTGAAAAAATTGAGTAATATGTTGCAATGAATGGTCATAGTGAAATAAAGAAGCAAACAGCGATAGGAATTTTATAATTTCAAAATTTGGTGGATCCTTCCTCCCACCTCGAGCAAGAGCAGCAATTTTATGGTGTAACGCTTAAGTTTATAAGGTTAAGTATGAAGACCAAAAAGGATAAAGATTGGATTGTGAACCGCAAACCAGTTTTCATAACAATTGGACCATGTGAACAAACATTTTACTTGTAAAAACTTGCCGGAGGTTTGAAAAGAAATCAGCCGTAAAATTTTGTTTTTGGGCAATCATAAACTGCCTCAAACCTTCCTATGAAAATTTTGCAATTCTTCAGGTGTTCCGACTGCATGGCTACACGAATCCCTTGCACGCTGATGTGTTCCAGGACATCAGGAAGATAGAGGCGGAGACTGCCAAATTCGTCTGCAGTATGTTCCATGGAGACGAAGAGAGCCACGGAGTGGTATGTTAACCTGACGGGCTAAGCTCGAAGGCGAAAATAAAATTTGATTCTTCTCCGAATTTCATCAAATAGCAAACCTTCGCCTAACAGAAATTCGCAAAAATCGCTTTGTATGGTTATGCTTTCACAATATTTGCAACCATTTTAAGATAGTCAATAAATGTAGTGAGACTCTTATATAGGTCATGATGTTTTTTTTTGCAAAAAACTGAAAAAATTTTTACGCCCAGTTTTGATTTTTCGTGATTTAATTTCTTTTTACTGTCAACTCGTTTTATTTGTTAAAAAGAAGGCACATTCCACTGACGAACAGCAAAAAACTGAAGGTCACAAAAAACCTGATCGAATTTTAATTTCGAAACTGAACTTTAGATTGAAGGGTTCCTAGATGAAAAGAAAAACTCTACCAATTCATCCAGTTTTCTCAAATTGAATTGGTACATCCAAAAAAGGGTTAATCATACAAAAAATATATTAAGTTCAGCGAAGTTTGAAGCGTAAGTTTTTTTGTAAAATTTAAAAGTTTCAAAATCAAGACACGTTTTTTTCTGTTCCCTTGCGTTCAATGACTCTTTTCCAATTGTCTGTTGGCTATGTTTATATACGTGGGGTTCCTAAGTTCGATGATGACTCCTCGTCAATCAAGTCAAAGTCATGATTGTTCAGACTGCCTCTCAACCGGTATCTTATAATTGCTGATGAAAAAAGTATTCAAAATTTTTGGACAATATCAATATCAACTGTGAAAATTTTAGTAGTACGAAAATAAAATTACCAATTAGCTTGCTTTTAATTTGAAACCTTTTTAATACGCTTAAGCAATATAATAAAAATCTTCACAGAGCGCATAAAAAGTCAAGATCATCCCAAGAATTGGTCCAGAGAAAAAATAATTGGATGAAAAAATCTTCTTACAATTTGAACTCAAAGGATATTTTTAATTGGCTATGAGTTTTTTCGGTAAAACTATTATTTCGATTGCCAAAACTTGACTAAATAAAAAACCTAGCAAAATCGGAACAAAAATTGAATTTTAACGTGGCAATTTAATTAAATGTTGTATTTATTCCGACAATATTAATTTGCGCAATTTAAAGCTTTTCACACAGAGACTAGGTAGAAATTTAAACCATTAGCAAAACAAAAACTGGTCTAGAGAAGAACAATTAAATTTTTCTTTACAATTTGAACTCAGGGAGTTGATATCTTTAATGGGCTATAATTTTTGTTGGTAGAACTATAATTTCGATTGCCAAAGTTTGACTGAATAAAAAAACAACCCAAGCAAAGTCGGAACAAAATTGAGTTTTAACGCGGAAATTTAATTAAATTTTGTAAATTTTCCGAGAATAATAATTTGCGCAATTTAAAGCTTTTTAAACAAAACCCCGGTAGAAATTTTTACCATTTGGAAAAGAACGAATTCATGTATTCTAAGACTAAAAAAATATTAGTCGTAAAAATTTTGTTGTCTCGATTTGTTTTATATGAAGTTCAATTTGAGAAAAACATTAAGATGAAGTGGGACAAATGTCTGTATTAAACTTGCATTGCAACAAGTCTCTTCTCAAAATCCACACCAAAAAAACTTTCGATATGAGTCGACTACGCCAATATAAAATGGAGTGAAACCTTTCAAGCCGAACGAAGCAAAAAAATGGATTTGTTTTCAAATCGGAGCTTACAACCATCAAGATAAAAGTGGGCTTGATGAAGTACTACAAGCAAAAAAGTTTTGACTGTTTTGGAATATAAATCTTCTCAAACTTAGATCACGCCAGGTGGGAGTGAGAGTCTCTTATTGGCAGTTCTTGCGGCGAGGAACAGAGCCTACGACAGGGGTATCCGGTATCCAGAACTGGTGATGTCTGTCACTGCACTGTTAGATTGAAGGGTTCCTAGATGAAAAGAAAAACTCTACCAATTCATCCAGTTTTCTCAAATTGAATTGGTACATCCAAAAAAGGGTTAATCATACAAAAAATATATTAAGTTCAGCGAAGTTTGAAGCGTAAGTTTTTTTGTAAAATTTAAAAGTTTCAAAATCAAGACACGTTTTTTTCTGTTCCCTTGCGTTCAATGACTCTTTTCCAATTGTCTGTTGGCTATGTTTATATACGTGGGGTTCCTAAGTTCGAAGATGACTCCTCGTCAATCAAGTCAAATTCATGATTGTTCAGACTGCCTCTCAACCGGTATCTTATAATTGCTGATGAAAAAAGTATTCAAAATTTTTGGACAATATCAATATCAACTGTGAAAATTTTAGTAGTACGAAAATAAAATTACCAATTAGCTTGCTTTTAATTTGAAACCTTTTTAATACGCTTAAGCAATATAATAAAAATCTTCACAGAGCGCATAAAAAGTCAAGATCATCCCAAGAATTGGTCCAGAGAAAAAATAATTGGATGAAAAAATCTTCTTACAATTTGAACTCAGGGGATATTTTTAATTGGCTATGAGTTTTTTCGGTAAAACTAATATTTCGATTGCCAAAACTTGACTAAATAAAAAACCTAGCAAAATCGGAACAAAAATTGAATTTTAACGTGGCAATTTAATTAAATGTTGTATTTATTCCGACAATATTAATTTGCGCAATTTAAAGCTTTTCACACAGAGACTAGGTAGAAATTTAAACCATTAGCAAAACAAAAACTGGTCGAGAGAAGAACAATTAAATTTTCTTTACAATTTGAACTCAGGGAGTTGATATCTTTAATGGGCTATAATTTTTGTTGGTAGAACTATTATTTCGATTGCCAAAGTTTGACTGAATAAAAAAAACAACCCAAGCAAAGTCGGAACAAAATTGAGTTTTAACGCGGAAATTTAATTAAATTTTGTAAATTTTCCGAGAATAATAATTTGCGCAATTTAAAGCTTTTTAAACAAAGCCCCGGTGGAAATTTTTACCATTTGGAAAAGAACGAATTCATGTATTCTAAGACTAAAAAAATATTAGTCGTAAAAATTTTGTTGTCTCGATTTGTTTTGAATGAAGTTCAATTTGAGAAAAACATTAAGATGAAGTGGGACAAATGTCTGTGTTAAACTTGCATTGCAACAAGTCTCTTCTCAAAATCCACACCAAAAAAACTTTCGATATGAGTCGACTACGCCAATATAAAATGGAGTGAAACCTTTCAAGCCGAACGAAGCAAAAAAAATGGATTTTTTTCAAATCGGAGCTTACAACCATCAAGATAAAAGTGGGCTTGATGAAGTACTACAAGCAAAAAAGTTTTGACTGTTTTGGAATCTAAAATTTTCTCAAACTTAGATCACGACAGGTGGGAGTGAGAGTCTCTTATTGGCAGTTCTTGCGGCGAGGAACAGAGCCTACGACAGGGGTATCCGGTATCCAGAACTGGTGATGTCTGTCACTGCACACGCAGCCCTGGACAAAGCTTGCTTCTACTTCCGAGTGAAAGCTGTACATGTTCCAATAAATAGCAAAACATTCAAACTGGATTTTGCCAAGATGAAGAGAGCTGTGAATAAAAACACGTGTTTGGTAAATATTTGTTTGTATTTCGATGTAAATCCCGGCTTTACTGGCGTTTTTCTAAATTCTGTTTCGTTTTTAGATAGTTGGTTCCTTTCCCGAGTTTCCATATGGTCTCATGGATCCCATTGAGAAGATAGCGGCGGTGAGTTAAACTTACGTTTTTTCATCTTGTTACAATAGTTATTAATGAAAAAAACGTTTGATCTTCTGCTGGTAGCCGCACTTTAGCTTTGCTGTTTTTTGATTTTTTTTCAGAGAGCAACATAATTCAAATTTTTACTATTTCAAATTTTAGCACTGTTGAATTCACTGATTTTGCGATAATCTTAGTGAAAAGATAAAGCACGATAAAATAACCAAATAGTTCTAGAAAATCGTTTCTTTTTGCAGCTGGGCGTGGCCCGGGACATCCCAGTGCACGTGGACGCCTGTCTGGGTGGGTTTGTGGTGGCCTTTATGGCCCAAAGTGGACTAGAGTTGCCTCCTTTCGACTTCGCTGTGCCAGGAGTCATGAGCATATCTTGCGACAATCACAAGGTAAAATAATAACATAAAGCAGAAAAATCAGCAATTAATCTAAAGAAACGTTCCAGGCTATGTAATTTTCATTATCGTACGGAGTCTTTCTAATTTTTGTCTTTGTCAGATGGGTTTGTCTTCGTTTCTAAATTGGATCCTTATTTGTCAAGTTAAAGTCTTATGTCTGCTTGCTTTCCGCATAAGAAAGCTATTTACTGCTTTGACATTAACATCAGGTTTGATTTCCCCTGGAGCTATTTTTCATATGATTTAGAAACATACACTAGTTAAAAAAAAACATCAATGATCTGATTATCATGAACTCTGATGTGTTTCAGTATGGATTCGCTCCCAAAGGCACATCCGCTCTAGTGTTCCGCAGTCCAGAGTACATGCAGTGTATGTACTTCTCACAGCCAGACTGGCCAGGTATGCTCAACCAGATATTAATAAATTGCTATCTATTGTTAAGAAAATTGTTATGCATATCTAAAATAACCGGAATTGCATCAGATTTAGGTAAATTACATCAGAGTTTTATAAAAAAAATGCATAACAACAGTGGCAATGTGCCGTTATGTTGAATAAAAATAGTAATTTTTGGCAAAAAAAAGGTTGAAGAAAAAAATTGCATAGCATTTTAGCAAAAATTTTTTGGTGCATTTTTTCGAAATTGGGGCCGAGACTTTAACTTCCAAATATCTGATCAATTGCTGACAAAACTATATTAAATTAGGTTTCTAGCAAAATAAATTGCTCGGCAAAATCTTTGTTCTGTAAAATTGTTTGGTATACATATACTGCCCAAATAGTATCAACGAGTGCCATATATGAAATGAATGCAAGGTGGTATACATGAATCGAATACTTTACCGAAAGTTTTATCGACAATCAAAAAGACGAAAAACCATCAGCAATAAATTAATACGCTAATTTATATTTGTATACACAAATTGAGATAGTTTTGAATTTATTATGCCAATTATGCATCGCAACAGAAGGAACAAAGGACCAAAAATGGACCAAAACCTCAGTCTTACAAATTTTTTACATACTCCCGCGCAGCAGTTGTCCACAAACTAAAAGGCTTCAGTGGCTCAACTGTTAACACAAGGTAATACAACCATCATAGGAGAGGCTAATGCCCACTGACCCCTGTGGCATTTAAATATACCAGATGATAACAGAGGTGCCTCTTTAAGCGCAGAAATAACAGACTCCATTTTACCCCACTGAAAGAACACAATCAGACCCGCTTACTATTCGATAAAATTTTAAACCCTTCCCCCGAACATCTCTCTAGAGTCAACATTATTTTTACGCTCTTTATGATGGAAGCCGCTCAACTTTGGGTTCAGACCATCTTCCAATTTTAATAAATCTCCCTCTAACTAAGCAATTCCCGTTTTTACGAAATTTTTTTTATTACCTGAGCAAATTGGGAAAGTTTTACTGAAGAAATTGAAAACAGAATTTGAAACATAGGTATTATAAACGATGGAAGCAAGGCTGAACAATTTAAGGAAGTATCATTTTGAGAAGCTAGACACCATATACTCGCAGGGCGTCATTACACTTGCGAACTTCTTTAGTGATGATAGTGCAAAATTAAATCTATTATTTTTTCCAATCTGAGTACCATCACACCAAAACTTACCAACAGGTAACAAAGTCGAAAACACTTGAGCAGAAATTTTTCATGCCGAAAAATGTCAAAGTAATTCCAAACTAATCAAAAAAATTCTAAGTCTGCTTTCCCCAAAGCAGAAACACACGCACACAAAAACTTTTTTCGGTCAACAATTAACAGGAGAACAATTAGTCGGTATATTTTAAACGGAAACTTTATAAACTGAAAAAAAAAGAAAAACAAAAAGAGAAGTCATAACAAATCGAGTACAAAAATACAAATCGAAAACACAAACAACAAAACAGCAAACTCTGTTTCGACTGGATTTTAAATGCAAACATGCTGAAATTAAGTGTGCTGCAACAGAAAAACTCGGCAGATGAATGAGTTTAAGATCTAGGAGATGAGTCTTGTGAATAAAGTAAATTACCGGAAAAGTCTTCAACTAATTGCAATACCTATGCTTAACGCAAGAGTGAAAAAAAATCCAAAAAAGTTCAAACGTGAAAAGATAAGCTGTAAAAACTTATGCACACCGTTTTGAAAATGTTGTCAAATGAGAAATTGTTTTCAAGAGTTGATGAACGTAGTGAAAACTCTCATACAGGTCAGCATGGTTTTTTGTAAGGAAAAGTTTTAAATTTTGTTCTCGATTTTTCATGATTTGATTTTTAATTTCATTTGAATTTTTTTTTCGTTTTCTTTTTTTTTAATAAAAAGACGGCAAACTTAATTATCAACTAGCAGCACTGTAAAATTCCTGAAAAATGTATTGTTTTCTACTTTCGTTAGTCAATTTTAATTCTCAGTTTTTCTCAGCGAAAAAAAATTAACCTACTGATCGAATTTTCTCAAGTTAAGTCAATTTTATCCAAAAAAATCAAACAATAATTTTCTTGAAGTCCAAAAAACGTTATGGCCAGATGTTTTTACTTTGAAATTCGAAAGTTCAAGATTTTTTAAACTGTCTTTCTTTTTTTCTGTTTCCTTTGCTCTTTCCAAGTGCCTGTTGCTGATGTTTGTACATAATAAAAGTGACATTTTTGTCTATTAAACAAAAATTGTGGCTACTAAACTCATTGACATACAATTTAGAAAATTTCACCATTCGTAAAATCGGTTGAGCTACAGAAGAGGTTGACTTTGATGTAGTTTTGTCTGCAATTGGTCAGGTACTTTTGGCGTAACTTTTGATTTACTATAAACAACTAAATTGATTGTATTTTGAGTTGAAATTGTTGGGCCAAAATAATTTGCAATATAGTAATTCAGTAAAAAAAATCTACACTTTTGAACGGTAGCGTGGCGAGGTTAAGATTAGTGGAAAACGGTTTAGCGTTTAGCGGTTTTTAAATTAGCGATCAAACCTCTGATCATTGTGGCTTGGTATGGGGACCGGCCAATTAGAATGTGTATCAATTAGCAAACCCAAGAAAAAAACTGTAGTTTGAAGATTCGCTATATCACGTTTTTTCTACTCATATTTGCAATTTTAAACAATGTGCACCTAGCCGTGGTTTCAATTGAGTGGAGTAAAAACTTTAACTTCCCCAAAAATCAAGTGGTTGTCGAACAAGTTATTTGAAAACTTAGGCAATTTTTTTTCGTCTTAAAGCACACTCAGTTAAAGCAATATCACATGCCTATAGTCACACATGCTAATCGTAACGCCCCCGTTTAGCATTGTCTACTTGATGTACTAATATAGCGAGATAACCGCAAATGAAACCCACGTTTTTCTTGACTGACGATTATACCTCACTTTATGATTACTTTATATAAAAAGGATAATATTTAGTTGCTGGGCAAGTAGCACCAAAATTTGAAGATCAATAATTTTCTGTTTTAATTTTAAAAAACTATCAGAAAAAAACAACAAAAACTTATCGAAAGTATTTTTAAGACTTTCATGCGATTGTAGAAAGCGTCTCTCTACATTTATCTAAAAAGCAAAAAAAATGTTGCGAAACTTTTAAACAACTTTTAAAGTTTCAAAATGACATATCACTCGACTACATAATTTTATTTGTTAAACCCGCAAGCAAAAAAAAACACCCGAATGTAAAGTCCCCCCCCCCCCCCCCCCACTTCTTGGTTGAAACTAAAGGTTCTTGTTGTTATTGTAAATTTAAAAATGATTTCCTTAATTTTAGCTCTTTACATCTGAAAATATCAACAAAAAGTTTAACTCGGTTAAAACTCTGGCTCTATTGATTTGCAGGTGGAATCTATGCAACCCCCACCACAGGGGGGAGCAGGAGCGGTGGAATCATAGCCACTGCATGGGCCACCATGCTCTATATGGGGGAGGAGGGGTACACTAAGACAGCCGCACAAGTGGTACACACAACCAGGGCACTCGCCAAGGGGTGTGTACACAATGTATTATCCACCTGCTTCCTTTACATTGAAAAATTTTTGATGACATCAAATTCCGTTCAAAATAATTGTGAATTTGCATTTGCTTAAAAAACTACTTGTATCCTCAGCAAGATGTGAGGGAAAACTTCTACTTTAAATAATCAAACTCAGAGGCAAAAATGGCACATACAGTTTAAAAAAAAAGGTTGCACCGAGGAAAAAATATATAACAATCTAGAAAAATATCGTAATTCTCTAATTTTTCACTATAAGCATATCTGAGACTCCTGGACTTTGTGTGATGGGAGACCCGCAGATCTGTGTGGTATCGTGGACCTCGTACCAGTTTGACATTTGGAGACAGTTCGAACTACTAACCAAGAGGAAATGGTTCTTAGGCACCACCCAGTTCCCAGGAGGGCAAGTGTTCTATCTATTTTCAAATGCTTTTTCGTTCGTATCGGCTCTTGTGAATAGATATTTGACAATCTATTTTTACATAGTTTTGCTGGTTGCCAAGTTACAACACATATCTGTTATCCGGGGCAGATCTACGACTTTGGCGAGTGGAAGGGCATCGAGTTTCAAAACTTGGACATTAGTCAATTTTTTTGTAATTCGAGCAATTTGATTGCTAAATCTCTCCGGCTAATTATTCCTGGCCAGCAAATAACTCAATTGTTTCCCTGCAAGAATCTCCCTTTTATTAAAAATCAATTAACAAACACAATAGAAAGAACTGAACAAAAAGCGAACTAATAACTTATACAAGAACCTTTTCAAGAACTAATAACAAATACAATCAAAGACCAGGAAAAAACAATAAAACTGTATTTTTGTGTGGTAGGATCCACTTCACAGTGACTATGAAGCACGTGGAGCAGGAGTGGCTGGACTCATTCCTCAAGGACATCCGGGAGACAGCCGAGATATGCATGCAATCGCCAGAGGAAAAGGCCAACGGACAGGTTAGATCAAAAACTGAGGGGAGAGAGTACTTTTAATAATTTGTGTATTTCAAATCTGTCTAGAAACTGAGATTAGACATACCGTGTTTTTGAATCATCAGATGCGCCGAGCTTATGATGCGATCAACACGGTTACTTATCAAATAGAAAAATGTCAAAATGTCTAAAGAAAGTAAAGAAGTTCTATTTGCCAAGATAGTCCATTAGTTCAATTTCCATGAAGAGTCTCTTAACAGGGTAAAAATTTCTAGGCAGCAATGTATGGAATGTCTCAGACAATTCCCGACAGATCCCTGATCAAAGAGATGACATACATGTTCTGGGACAGATACTACAGCACTGCAACTGACTAACGACAGGGCAGAGAAAGCAAAGAAAAACCGAAACAAAAGAGCAAAAAAGACATTTTTTTTGTTATCCTTCAAAATGAAAATTTATTATCTACCAGAATTAAAATCGATCCGGGTTGAGACCGAAAACTCATAGTCGCAACGCAGGTCTAAGCTTGCGAAGTCTGAACATAAGTCTTGAATTCTTAACGTAAGTCTGAGCATAATTCTGCAAAGTCTGAACATAAGTCTGCAAAGTCTGAACATAAGTCTGCAGAGTCTGAACATAAGCTGCAAAGTCTGAACATAAGTCTGTCTGCAAAATCAACCAAGAATTTTTGTTGGTCTCATAATTTTGAAACCGGGTTTAACTTCCCCAACCGCACTGAAGTTTCTCGGATAAAAATAGATAATATTTAGAAACCCGTGCCAAAATGTTGCCATTATAATCGATAATTTGACACTGATTTAGGCAATATTTTTAATATAATAGCTAAAAAGTGGATTGTTTTCACAGCGACTATATCGCGCTATGATTCCACTAAATGAAATTTCAAAAAATTGTTTTTTTTTTGCCATAAGATCTCAAGATAACCTATTTTGTTCGAAAAAAATCCCATGTTTTTAAAATGTGGATAATAAAAGTCAAAATGCGTTCATAATTAATGACTTTCATCGATAATCTACACACCAGGAGAGCGTGAGACAACAATTCGTACCTAGCCCTCGCTAGGTACGAATTGTTGTCACACGCTCTCCTGGTGTTGAGATTATCGATGCAAGCCATTAATTATGAACTCTTGTTGACTTTGATTATCCACATTCAAATAATAGATTTTAACATACTTCAGTGATCGAAGCGGTTCTCTACGCATTATATCTCTCATTATAATATGGCTCGTAAAATTCAGTCAATTGGTTATATTTTCCAGCAATGTCTCACGCTCTATATAAACCGTTGAACATTCCATAACATTTTTTGGATCAACTGAAATTAAGCAGATCTCTCAAAGTGACGCATAAGTCACGGAAACTAAGGTATAATTTTTCGCAGAATTTCAAAGACTGGCTTGGCTGCATAAATTAACACAGAGACTAAGCTCAGCTTCGCATCACTTAAAATACACATATGAAGGTTATGAAAATCAAACGGAAAAAAAATTTAAAAATTGTTTTTGTCAATGAAAATAGAAAAAAACGCCCAAAATATCTGGAACAAAATTGTCTGCACCATTAGAAACTCTACAAAGAGCTTTGGGAATGCTACACAGAAGCCAAGTTTTCAAAAAAAAATCTTTTCTGGGGAACTAAGCAGACAAAAATAAGCAGGCAGACAACAATAAGGGTAAAAAAGAACTCGCAACTGTCTGAAACTCATGTGGCTGAGGCCCGTTGCCTGCGGTTTACCAGTAAAATTGCTAATTCTATTCGGCATATAGCAAGATCATTTCTCGATTGGTAATAATGAATTTAAAGGAAATGAAAAATAGTCCATTCATACACTACTGATACACTAAAATAGTCCATACTATATTCCTACTGCGGTCTATTATTTTAACTCGCATTTAAGAACATTCTAGAACATTCGATTGAACGAATATACCATTCCACACAAGCGAACAAACCGAAGAGCAATGAAAGTAGAACTAGAACATTCTTCTGAATTTGCTCATTACAAAAATGCTGAAAAGGTATAAAATATTCTCGCCGTGATTGTTCTAGAACATATGCTTCGAAGAATATTCGAGAATTAGAATGCAGTTAAAGTATAAATACCGGTCTTTATTTTCTACTACCATATAAATTCTAAATCGACAAAAAGCTACATTTTCTGCGAACAGCCTCTTAAAGCAAACTTTCCAACGCTTATATCTTAAGTATACCAATTCTGAAAAAATATATATCCACTATTTGTCATTTACTTCAAAACTTATCAAATATTACTCAACAACTGATCGAAAATGGTCAAAACAGCTCCTGCAGTTGGAATCGATCTGGGAACCACCTACTCTTGCGTAGGGGTCTTCCAAAATGGAAAAGTGGAAATAATCGCCAACGACATGGGTCATCGAACGACTCCTTCCTATGTTGCTTTCAACGACTCTGAACGTCTCATTGGAGATGCAGCCAAGAACCAAGCAGCTATGAACCCAAACAACACGATCTTTGACGCTAAACGACTCATTGGCCGAAAGTTCACCGAGGAAACTGTTCAAAGGGACATCAAACTGTGGCCTTTCAAAGTTCTCAACAACAATGACAAGCCTCAAATTGAAGTCGAATACAAAGCTGAGACGAAAAAGTTCCACGCTGAAGAAATTAGCTCAATGGTGCTGACCAAAATGAAAGAAACAGCGGAAGCATACCTGGGCTTACCCGTGAAAGACGCTGTGATCACGGTTCCAGCTTACTTCAACGATGCACAAAGAGCTGCCACTAAAGATGCCGGAGCAATTGCTGGACTAAATGTCTTGAGAATCATCAACGAGCCAACTGCAGCTGCACTTGCCTATGGTTTGGACACGAAGGCAACTGGTGAAAGGAATGTCCTGATTTTCGACCTGGGAGGAGGAACATTTGACGTTTCAGTCCTCACAATTGAGGACGGAATGTTTGAAGTTAAATCGACGGCAGGTGACACACATTTAGGAGGCGAGGATTTTGACAACCGACTTGTAAAGCATCTGATCGAAGAGTTCAAGAGAAAGCACAAGCAGGATCCCTCCCAGAACAAAAGATCTTTGAGAAGACTCAGAACCGCAGCTGAAAACGCAAAGAGAACTCTATCTTCAGGAAACTTCTCGAGGACTTCTTCAATGGCAAGCAGCTGAACTGCTCAATCAACCCAGACGAAGCAGTCGCTTATGGAGCTGCTGTACAAGCGGCTGTGTTGACCAATGTGAAAGACGAAGCAATCAATGATGTTCTTTTGGTCGATGTTGTGCCTCTGTCACTAGGAATCGAAACAGCTGGAGGAGTGATGACCAAACTAGTTGAGAGAAACACCAAGGTCCCAACTCGTGCTCAGAACACTTTTACAACATACGCGGACAATCAACCAGCTGTCACAATTCAAGTCTTCGAAGGCGAACGAGCAATGACCAAGGACAACAACCTTCTTGGATCTTTTAATCTGCAAGGAATACCACCAGCTCCTCGAGGTGTCCCGAAGATTGAAGTGTCTTTCGATGTCGACGCTAACTGCATGTTGACAGTTACTGCCAAAGATACCAGTACCGGAAAGAACGAGTCGATCAAAATCACGAACGATCAGAACCGATTGAGTCAACAGGATATTGACCGAATGGTTGCCGATGCCGAGAAGTTCAAAGCCGAGGATGATGCTTGTCGGGCTAGAGTGTCGGCGAAAAACGCTCTTGAGAGCTACATCTTCAGCGTCAAGTCATCGGTCGAGGACTCCGCTGTAGCTGACAGACTGGACCCTAAGGAAAAATCGTTGGTTTGCGACATTGTCAAGGAAACCGAAACTTGGCTAGAACGAAATCAGTCGGCAGAAAAAGACGAGTTTGAGTACAAGATGAAAGAAATTCAAGATAAAGTGGCCCCAGTGATGAGCAAGCTGTACAGTGGGGGACAAGGGAACAATGGGGGAACAGGTGCTAGAATGGGAGGCGGACCTACAGTCGAGGAGGTCGACTAAATCATTGATGATAGAGAATCTCAAATTGAACTCTGATAAGAAACTGATGAACTCAAACTGAAAGATATTTTTTAGTTGATTTACGTTTTATTTGTGCAATTTTTGGCTGAAAATTTATTTTTGTCTAACGATGATTTTTTTCAAAGCCAAACATCACTTGCGATACAAAACTGAACAAGTTTCACTACAAGCAGATGCATCGACAAATCGTAAAACATAACCAACTGACAGTTAAAAACAGTAATGAACGCAAGGAAACAGAAAAAAACTGAATTGAACAAATATATCCCCTTAGAGCGCTTTGAATTTCAAGAACATTTTATAACTGGTGGCTTTTTTGATAAAGTCACCCAATTTCAGAAAACTAGATCAATAGGTAAATTTTTGATTCCGCTGGGAAATATCAACACAATCAATTTTCGAAAATAGAAGTCGACCACGTTTTTCGGCACCTTTACACTTTTGCTGTTCGATGGGCTCTTAAAAAATACCTTCCCTCCACCAATGCGCGTGAAAGCATGGAGCTTAATTTACAAGCTCCAAAGAAATGGGGCCGACAGCCAGTGTTATCAAACAGATATACTATAACCTAAAAATCAGCCCTAATCAGCCCCACCGAGCAGATTGAAAGCAAACTGATTTGAAAAGGTATAAGTTATGGCCCTTTGAAATTCGAGAATTTATGTTGAAAAACTTAAAATAAGCCAATAGATTTTTGTTTGTTTGTTATAAACTCTTTCTATATTCGAGGACAAAAACATGGCCTTTCAACTCTATGAATTTCTAAACCATTTTATGATTGACACTTTTTTGATAAAACTAACCCAATTTGAAAAAACTGGAACAGTAGATGAAGTTTATCTATTGCAGAAAAAACTGATAATTAAAAACCATTTTCGAAATTATTCGACGAAAATAGAGATGAAAGCAGCAATTTTCATTTTTTGAAAAAAGATTTACAAAAATGATCAACCAAATATTTTCCCATGTTACTCCGAAGCACGTTCCGTCGGAAAAAAAGGTTTTTAGAACACCTAAAAACTCATAACACTTTAAATCCCCCTCAAAACGGTAAGATAAAACTTTGTTTGCTCTTCAAACGACTAAAACAAAAACGCTTCTTAAGCCGAAACCTTTGAAGCTGATTAAAGAGAAAAAAGAAAAAATACAAACTAAAAAAATACATCGCCAACTTCAGTCTTCCTATAAACAAAGTTGTTTACGGGTAAAAAACAGTTTAGTGTTCAAATTAAAATACCAAAAAACAAAAGACAATGTCTCAAACAAAAAGTAAATATCTGAAAAGAATTAGCAAGAAAAATAGTATGCTTTTATTAAATGATTTTTTCATTATTATTTTTAAAAATCGATCACCTAATCATAAGAAGGATTCGGGCTACACAATCTTCATTCAGTTCTTTCTCATGACAAACAAATTTGGAGAAGTTTCTAAATGTACTCAAAAACATTAAATATTGCAAGCAAACAACCTGCAAACAGTACCTGAACATTCGGCTATAAACATCAACAGGAGCATTTGCCAAAAGTTAAGATAAAAACGAAAGAATCAAATGAAGAACAAAAAAATTGAATGCTTAAGTTTCAAACAATTTCCACGGAAAATCTGAAAACTAAAAACAAAAACAACCGTTTTTCATCAAATTTAGCAAATACGAACTTGATAAGCAGTGTCAAGAGAGCTGGATCGCAACAACTAAAACTAGAACAATGAAAAAGACAAAAATGCCCGTAAAAATGAAAAAAAAAAACAAGATTTTTTTTTTCTTAAATTAAGACATCAACAGCTGGATTAAATGTATTGTCATGCATTGAAAAAAACAGCTCAATGTTATTTTCAAAAACGAAATTCCTTAATCTCATGCAAAACAATACGTCACATCTTTGCATACAAAACATTCAAGTCGAAATGCAACAAAAAAACAGAAATTTCCACGAAAATTGAGACATGAAAAGAATACGCTGGATAACAAAAAAAAACAATGAAATATGCCATCAACTTTTTTTGATTTTAAAAAATTACTCAATCATGAAACACTTTAGCTAATTCTACGCACTTTTAAAAAATTACAAAAATGAAACACCCGGCCAGTAAGCCGACAAAAAGTAAGATGAAATCATTAAGCCGACAAAAATTAATTTATATTTCAAAAACTTATATGTGATTCAGAGGGGAGCACAAAAATAATGTTTTCCTTGCAATGAATCAAAATAAAGTCTCTAAGCCGGAAAAATATAAGCCGAAATATTCAGGGCAGAATGAAGTTTTTGGGCGAAGAAAAAAGATAATATTCGAAGACGAGGGTAATAATTACAGACAGCGAAACTAAATCAAAACGCTAAAAGCAACAAATGTATTTTGCGCACAGCAAAAAAAACAATTCTACGACTTTGCAACTAAGCCGGCAAAACATATGCAGACAAATAATAAGCCGACAACTTTTTTGAAACGGAAAACTTCCAGTTTGAAAAAAAAAAACAGATCCCGGTCAAATTCGAAGCCAGGTCTTTTGCCGTTCCAGGCGAGTTCGTTACCTCCAGACCAAAAGTTCTGGAGACACAGACATTTGAATTCATTGTGAATTGAACCTAAATCTAACATTCCTAATTGTGACAATTCTGTGAACAAAGTTACTTACGGGGAGAAAGTCTAGTACCCGCTGGCAATAGCCTATTATAGTAACTTTGTTCTCCGATAAATTTTTGGAAATGGTCAGACAAGTGTGTGTAAGTTCAGAAAACACGACAACCAAACAACGGCAAAGCTTCATATCGCAAACACAATTTGAAACACGGGAGAAAAAGCTATTTAAAATGCAAGAAAATATCAAAATGAACCTCGAACGAAAAAAAGACGCGGAACATTCGGTCCTTTAAAACGCTCAAGTTCCAGATGCCTTTTAAGAAGCACTTGCCTCAACCACTGCTCTATCCGGCCTCCCTGTATCACAAACATCACATATGCTATACTCAAAAAAGCTAACAAACAGTGAAACTAAAGTGAAACTACCTATTTTTTAGTAGAAGTTGAGACTATGATCGAATAGGTTGACGATTAACTTTTTCTAAGAAATGATTCATCTGAAAACCTGCTAAACATGAGGATTCTCAATCTGATGAAGTTTTGAACAGTTCTTTCAGTCGGAAGATGACAGGGTTCAAAGGCGCCCGCATTAACTCTACACCAATTGAAATCGATCCTGGAAATTGTTTGGGTTCAATAATACAGCAAGTTCAATTTGAAACAAGTGGTTTACGGGACAAAAATCTAGTACCCGATTACAGGTAACTTGCTGTCCCAAGTGAGAAAGCACCAAAACTACGCGATTTGAATCGGACACATTGACCAAGAATCAATATAGCCTCAACCACTTAGCCTGAGCACTTGGATTCTACTTTCACGTATGCTCCTTTCTGAAATACCAGGCAGCAATTAATGCACTTGTAGAAAACGTCTATAGCTCGATATTCTGTTTACTTCTTTTGTCCTAAAAAAATTGCCTAGGACAAAGACCGGTTTCATAGCACAGACTACGCTTTTCTGTGCAAGAACTTCAAATGTACTATTTGTGGCATTCCAATGTTGAAGTATAAACTGTCGACCCAAACCCACTTATCTTGGTAATTAAGCTCCTTGTTATTGGTAATAGTTGTTTAAGGTCACCAACTTTGTGAGCAACCATCAAGACCGGTAGCCAGCTCAATATGTTTTCAATTCGATTTGTAGGATAGAGTTTTAATGAAAAGAAACGAAGCTTTGAACTTTGTTTCATGGTGACAACGAAGAAACTGCGATAGCGCGTGAACCCAAAATCTAAGCCCCAACTTTTGCTATGACGAATCTCGGACCTGGCGATTATGAGTCTCACCTACTCGCATTTTAGACATGGTCACTCAAACAATAGCCAAAAATAAAGCTGATAGGATAGATTTTATCAACCTGCCAATGCTATGCACCAAAAAGGCCACCAAATGATCACTTTTATTGCGTTCCAGTTTTCAACGAGAGGGAAGGGCACAAAATGCTTAACTATGAAGTGTCAAGCCATACTTTTGGACCTTGAAACTTAAACTGCTTGATACTTTTAAACGTTAGTAAAGATCGCTAACTTATGGAGCAACAATCAAGACCGATGGCCACCTAAATATATGTTAAAATCAACGTGTCAAGTTTCGTTTTGAATTGAAAAAATCTGCTCGCAAAAAACACCTTGGGACAAATTAATTCAATACTAAATTATTAATATGAATGAAACAGCTACAAGCCGATGAATTGTTATTTCGACTGGAATTGAAAGCAACGGTTGCTAATTTCACTACTATTAACTGCATAATGTACATCAAATCAGATCATAAAAAGTGTACCAAGTTAGGCCAAAACAAACTCCTTATTCAATTTCAGTCTAATGAACTTCCAATAGTTTTTGCGGACAATATCATCTTTTGTTTCTAGTTTGATTAAAATCGGCTCTAGTTCTTTCTTAATGATTGCTTCTTTTTCATCTGAGCTGAGATTTTCGTCCTTGTTTCTGAGATAATCTTCGAAACATGTGAAAGCATACATGCATAAATATGGCGACAACTGTTTATCAGGCGCTCCTTCATGTTGCAGCAAAGCTCTCATCCTTTCTAGCATCGCACTATTATATGGTTCACCTAGCTTGTAACTGTACACATTATCCAGGGTCTGTGTGATGCCTCGGAGATAGTTCCAGGCACTCTCGTTGTAGATATCCATGTCTATGCTTGCCAGAGTGTACATGACCTCTTTGGCTCTTACCCCTTCAGTGTAATCTGTAGTGTGAGTGATGACAAAGTATCTCTGGTTCCAGGCCGAGTTGTTCCTCACGTCTTCTAAAATATATCACTCGTAATAAGTACTACGCCAAAGTTTTGCAATTAGTTTTAACCCTCGTGCAAAAGCATGTGACATCATCAATGAATCGATCAAAAATATTATCAGCTTGGAATACCTTCGAGTAGTTTCTGGACATAGTGCAACTCCCCCTCCCACAGGGAGAATGTCTTGATGAGCCACTGTCTGTACTGCCAGGCGTGGTAGTTCTTCGGATCTTCGTCCAACATCGACTGCACAAATTTCAGCTCCCCCTTCGCATTCTGTCTCATGTCTATTATCTAAACATATCGGAGATGTACGAGAACAAAAACTAGTTCAATTTACCGCTTCAATTTATCGGAAACTCTTAGAACAACTTATTTTAGGTTTAAAAAATCTTCATCATTGAAACTTTAAAAAAACCTCAATCACCATATATATATATAAATAAATCGTTCAATTCTAAATATTTGTCCTGACCCGCGTTCGAACCCACTTATTTTGTTGCGGGTCTCCTTCCCTACCTCTACGCTGCAGACCCACAATAACTTGAAGCTAAAGTGCTATTTGTTGTGCAGCAAAAGTTGGGAAATGAAAAATCACCAATCCGACAGAATAAAACTAGTGATTTGCAAAGAGTGTAAATTATTTCACGAGTTATAGATAGAAGTCAATTGATTTTTGTAAAAATGCGGTTTTAAATAAGTAAATCAGTTCAATCGTAGATTTAGTTCAAGTAGAAAGCTGAAATGTCTTTTTTAGGCTTCAACATTCCGCCTCCCTTGAAGTATCTTCAATTTTCAGATCGTTGTTATGTCTGGGTACGACTATCCATTCACAGTGCACGAGACAAAGGAGAGAAAGAACAGGGCGGAGTCGGGCAGAGCACCACGTCTGCCTCCACATGGCGAGGTGCGAAGGTCCAGTAGGCGGGGCGCTGTCGACAGGGAGGACCTGCAGGGTTTCTTCGATGCAGTGACCAGAGGAGATCTGGGTTTCACTCCGATTCCTGTAAAGTCGTTGGATGAGATCCAGTCTTCAAGGAAGGAAGCTGCAATCGTGGATAGGGCAGTTCTGCGGTTTCCGAAAGCTGAGACTGTGAGTAGCATTTATTCCATTGTATCATAGTAGTAGAGTATAGCGGGTGTGCATCAATTGTTTGTTTTGTTTTAGAAGCAACTTAGAGGTCTTAAACGTATCAGTGACTTGAACGTAGAAGGGTCATTGTTCACTGGCTGGGAGGTTGGAGTTAACTGTCGAGAGACTCCTAGTGTGACAGCTAAGGGTGTTATTGGCGTCATGTCTGGAGGTCAGACCAGATGGCCAAAGCAGGTCTTTTCTTCTCTTCTCCAAGGTATTTTTGTAGAGTCCTCGTCCTTCCGGACTTTCCATCAAGACTTGGATGAGGAAGATGATGCTGTTTTGTGTCTTCTGGGGGGCCGAAAGTTGTGGCTGATGACATCTGAAGTTAATCTCTCTGGTGAACTTGAGCGCCTGGCCGGTAGCAATGATTCGGAGATGGGGCTCACTGATGCTGCTAAGTATCTGAGGAACCTTGGTCCTCGGCAGAAGAAACTAGTCCACTATGGTGTTCTTGAGGAGGGGAAAAGTTTGTATCTTCCATATGCGTGGTGCCATGCAGTTCTGACTCTCTGCGACGAAGAGAGGGTCTGCTGTATGTACTATGCGGAGATGCAAACTAGACTTTCCTTGGTAGCATCTGCGTGGAAGCGCTGCCAGCAACACTGCAGGGTCAACAAGCGAAGAGGACCACATAACAGCAAATGACTGTTCAACGGTAAATATGTTAACTGTTATTCAATAAATGAACTAAATGTGAATGCACCATAAGTAAGGCGTATACAAGTGAAGTATTAACGGTATGAGTCATGAGCGAAAGTTTGTATACTTAGAAAAACATTTTATGCGAATTAATGGTTGTAAATCATTACAATACGACATCTTTGAATATAATTTAAAGGCAAATATAACATTCTAACAGTTTGACGTGATCAGAGAGCCTATTGTTAAATTCAAGACAGTAGCGTAGGCGTATCCTAGCTGTTTTCAGACAATAATTACATTTTGGGTCATGAGGGTACAACCTCATACGAATTTTAATGCACGATTTAGCACAAAAATTGATGAAAATTTACATCATTTTCGACTTTTATGAACATACAACATTGGGAATTTACATGAAAGTGGTCAATATGAACGATTCATACCATAATGCATTGCATAGGGGGTAATTTAGGTTCCTACTCTCAAAAGGGTCATGGGGGTACTACTTCTTAAAATTTGAAAACTGCACATTTTTGATATTTTTCGATTTTTTTTTTTAGCACTATAAAGTTCTTGTTTTAAATGAACTGCACATTGGATATGACTTGGTTGCTATACTGGTAGCTTCCGAAGCTTCGCGACTGGGCGTACGTATTCACCAGTTGTGGTCTTCACTTTTACCACTCGAACAATTGAGTCATTTCCAGGATAAACTTCTATGATTCGTCCAGTTTTCCATTTTAGCGGTCGTTCATTGTCTTCGGCAAGTAGGACTAGGTTGCCAACTTTAAATTCTGGGCCATCCGTGAACCATTTTTTCCGTATTTGTAGCGTTATGAGATAATCCCTTTTCCAAACTTTCCAGAAATCCTTGATCATATTCTGTAATAGTCGATATCGTACATTGGTTGAAACTTGGATGTCCGCAGACGGAAGAGTTAGCAATGATTCCCCTATCAGAAAATGAGCGGGTGTCAGCGGAGTTGGGTCGTTAGGATCACTTGACATTGGATACAATGGTCGTGAATTTAAGACAGCTTCAATTTGATTGAGAATTGTAAGAAATTCTTCAAAACTGAGACGTTGCAGTCCTATAACTTTTCGCAGATGTCTCTTCATACTTTTTACAGCTGCTTCCCAGAGTCCTCCGAAGTGAGGAGCACGAGGAGGGATGGTGACCCATTCAGTTCCTTGGCTATTGACGAAACTAACACCTGATTTGTCCGTTCCATTTTTGTCGAGCAGTTCCTTGATTTTGATCAGATCATTTCGAGCCCCGATAAAATAGCTTCCATTGTCACTTAAGATCTTCTCAGGTTTGCCACGGCGTGCAGTAAATCGTTTCAATGAAAGGATGCATGCTTCTTTGGTTAGACGAGTAACCATTTCCAAATGAATAGCTTTTGTCGCGAGACAAACAAAGACGGCAACATAAATTTTTGAGACCTCTGCTTCCTTAATTTCAAAGGGACCAGCAAAGTCTATTCCACATTGAGCAAATGGTTTTGCGGGTGTTATTTTTTCTGTAGGAAGATCAGCCATGAATTGAGAAGTAGGTTGCTGACTAAATCGGACACATCTCATGCATCTTCTAATGAACTGTCGAACTAGATCACGGCCTCCGATTATCCAAATTTCCTCTCTCATTGTGTTCAGTACTAATTGCCCCCCGCCATGAAGAGTATCTTCATGATATTTGCGTATAAGTAGGGATACTAAATCAGATTTTTTTGAAACGAGTATTGGAAACTTCTTGTCTGTTGGGTAGTTCGATTGTGAAAGTCTGCCTCCAACTCTTAGTAGATCGTAATCCTTGTCGAAAAACGGACTAAGATTGAGTAGTTTCGATGTTTTACTCAGCTCCCCTTTCACCTTTAGACAATTTAGCTCTGATTTGAAGTGTATTTCTTGGTCTAAACGAAGAATTAGCATTTTTGCCATAATTCTATTTTTAGGACTAAGACAATCTTCTTCAAGTTGTACATCAGATGTCCGCTTAGATCTGAGCCGCTTCCGATAGTTTGTCGATACTCTATGCTTAAGATGTTGAACAAATGATAGTACATAGCATGCGATGAGTACTGTCTTGTTCCAAGTGCTGTAGTTTTTTAAACGAAAAATTCCATCCGTCATTTCTTCGTTTTGAGCATGATTTGCGAGAACAGTTCGAATTTGTTCACTTTCTGCATTAGTCTTGGCTTTGACGGTTCGTTTTTCAGGTGCTTCAACTAGAGATGGTTTTAGGTTGGGCCAGTGCCTTTAACCTTTGGTCAGCCAATCTGGTCCATTCCACCAGAGTGAGGAACATATTAATGTGTCAGCTAATACACCACGAGAGGCTAAATCAGCTGGATTTACTGCTGTTGGCACGTGTTTCCAATCACTTCTGGGTAGGGTCTCTTGTATTTGTGAAACTCTGTTTGCAACAAAAGTGTTCCACGTTCTTGGAAGTTGAGCAAGCCATTGCAAGACAATTGTTGAATCAGTCCAGGCGTGTGAAGTTATCTTGAGATTTGTTTTCCTCAAAATTGAATGAACTGATTTAAGAAGTTTGGTAGCTAAACTTGCACCGCAGAGCTCTAATTTGGGAACAGAGATTGCTTTGACCGGAGCAACCTTTGTTTTGGAGGTTAGTAGATATGCAAAAGTTTTGCCATCATCATTGGTAATTCTTGCATAGATTGCGGCTGCATATGCTTTTTCGGAAGCATCACAGAATACGCGAAGTTGAACCTCCTTTATTGGATGTGAGCTCATAGATCTTGGTATTCGTAGTTTCAGTAGTTGAGGCAATGTTCCGGTGAGCTCATACCATTTTTCCTTGGTTTTCTGATCGACTTCAGAATCCCAATCAAAACCTTGGACCCATAGTTGTTGCATGAGACATTTGAAATTGATGATGAATGGAGCTAGCCATCCCATCGGATCAAACAATTTTGAGATTGTGGACAGAATAGTCCTCTTTGTAAGCAGTTTCAGCTCTGGTAAGGCAGTTGAAAAACAAAAAATGTCCTTATTGGGCTTCCAACTGACTCCTAGCGCCTTGATTTTGTATTCGTCAGAGAAAAGTTCCAGCACATCCGATTTTTCGCGGAGATGTTCTGGCAATCCTTCAATTATTTTAGCATTGCTTGAAGTCCATTTTCGTAGAGGGAATTCATAAGAGTTCAGCTCTTCGCACAAATCAGAGATGAGTCTTTCTGCTTCATGCTTATCATTAGCGCCACCAAGAAAGTCGTCTACATAGAAACAATTTTTGAGACTTTCTTTGATCATTGGGTTCTTAGATTGATTTGCTACTTCATTGAGGCATCTTGTTGAGTGAAACGCTGACGAAGCTATTCCATATGTAACACGTGTCATCCTGAGATGCTTGATTTCATCCGATTTATTTGATCTCCAAAGTATGCGATGGAAATCCTTCGATTTGTCCTCTAGAGCAACTTGTCGGTACATTTTTGCGATATCTGCTGACAAAGCAATTGGGTAGAACCTGAAGCGCATGATTATCGAGTAGAGGTCGTCTTGTACTGTGGGACCAACCATCAAAGTGTCGTTGAGTGATTGTCCGGTTGATGTTGTTGCAGATCCGTCGAAAACTACACGTAGCTTTGTGGTAGTAGAATCTTCCTTGAAAACGCAGTGATGTGGCAGATAATATACGCTATCAACTGGCTTTTCGATTTCTCCAGGCGGTATGTACTCCATATGCCCCATATCGAGAAATTCGTCTATGAATGCGGTATAGCGATCTTTAAGTTCTGGATTCTGTTCCAGTCGTCGCTCGAGATAATTGAATCTGCGTTTTGCTTGTGCTAAACTGTCGCCAAGTTGACTATTGGGCTTGAAAGGCAGCTGCACGGTGAATCGTCCATTTTGTAGTATGGTTGTTTCCTTAAAGTGAGATTCACATCGATCTTCTTCTGTTGTTGTCTTTTTGAAATCAGGAATTTCTTCTAATTCCCAAAATTTCCTTAGACTATCGTCAATAGACACATGAAATGACTTGAAGAAGGTTGTTGGAGGACCGGGTGTTCTGCCGCTAATCATCCAACCAAATAGAGTGTCACGTGCATAAAGCTTGTCTGTAAGCTTAATCTTTTCGCAGCCAACAATGTCGTTGTAGACATCACAGCCTAGGATTATATCGATTTCCTTTGGTTTGTCAAAGTCTGGGTCCGAGAGCTTAAGACGTGTGATATCCAAACTGTTCGGTATATTCAACCGTTCTCTGGGCAGGTAGCCAGAAAGTTTTTGAAGAGTGAAGGCTTCAATATGTAGAGATTGATTCTGAGAATCCTTTGCTTCCAGATTGACAGAACCAGATTTCACAGTTTTTGCTCCTCCGCCAACTCGAGTTAGTTGAAGAGTCAATTTCTTGATTGGTAGCTTGAGTCGGTTAGCACAGCTGGTTGTAACGAAACTGCATTCAGATCCGCTGTCCAGTAAGGCTCGACAATTGTGATAACCGCCATTTGCAGTTTTCACCTCAATTAGTACAGTTCCCAGTATGGTAGTGGCACATGTACTAGTACCCCCATGACCCGTAAACTTATTTTCAGGTCCGGGTTGCTTGTTTGGGTCTGTATGGATGTGAAGTAACGTGTGATGACCCTTTCGACAGGTTTGGCACGTTGACTTCGACTTGCACTCATGATTTTGGTGTCCAAGGGACAGGCAATTGAAGCATAATCGCTTTGATTTGGCTTCTTGTCTTCTATTGGAAATTGACATTTCCTGAAATTTTGTGCATTGATACACGCGGTGATCACCACTGCAGCATGGGCAGCTGATCGTCTTAGCAGAGTTCGTGTGGTATGTCTGTACCTTGTCATCTTTCTTAGAATTTCCAGATTGGTCTGAACTTCCTTGATGATTTTTTCTATGAATTGAAGGTAACTGGAGGTCCTTCGTAGCTTCTAGGGCGCGAGATCGTTCCTCCAAGAACTTCTTCATCTGCTTGATTTTTGGCATGTCACTTCCCGCGCAGGAAAGTTCCCATTGTCTTCTAGTTTCAGAATCTAATTTCTTGGCCAAAACGTGAACCCAGATCAAATCACATTGATCAATTTTTAGTCCAAGTCCTGTCAGTGCCATCGTGTTTTCCGTGTAGGTGTTAATCAAGCGACGTATTGCAGCGGATGACTCATGCTTCATTGGGGTGAATTCAAAAATTGCTTCCAAGTGAGCGTGTGAGATCATCTTGACATCAGCATATCGATCCTTTAGAAGTTCCCTTGCGACTGAGTAGTTCGCGTTTGTAGTAGGCAAGTGGGATAGCAAACGAAACGGTTCATCCTTGAGGGCACCCTTTAGGTATTGCAGTTTCTGAACATCAGACAGCGATGCATTTGAGTGAACTGCTCCATCAAAGGAATCTAAGAAAGGTAGCCATTGATCATACCTTCCGCTAAATGTTGGCGAATTCAGTTTCGGCAACTTCAGGCAAGTATCTTGTTTTCGACCAGCACCACGTTGGGAAGTGGATTTGTAGGATCCGGTTCCGCTTGCGCTGTCGTCATCTTTGACCGATTCAGTTGAACATTTTCCTCGGTCATCTAACATAGTTGTGATCATTTCCATCAAACAATCTACTTGAAGGTAGATTTTCTCAGCTTCCTCCAACTCAACTTCAAGTGCATCTTCATCATCGTTTAGAAAACTTGAAATTCGCTGATTAAGCTCTTCCAGTTCCTTTTTCTTTCGTTCGCACATCGTGAGATTGGCCTTGAGAGTTCCAATTTCCTTGTAAGTTAGAGCAGATGCCTCTTTGTCGAAGATTGCTGAGACGGCATTTTCCGATCGGGTAATGACACCGATGTTAGCACTTCTTGATCGCTTCAAAGCAGGAAGAGTGAGCGTCACGTTGCTCATGTCACTAGCAGGTGATGACATTTTTAACTTTCCTCTTTGTTTCTAATCTTTGGTTCGTTCGTGAGTCGCGTTGCACCAAAAATGTTGTGCAGCAAAAGTTGGGAAATGAAAAATCACCAATCCGACTGAATAAAACTAGTGATTTGCAAAGAGTGTAAATTATTTCACGAGTTATAGATAGAAGTCAATTGATTTTTGTAAAAATGCGGTTTTAAATAAGTAAATCAGTTCAATCGTAGATTTAGTTCAAGTAGAAAGCTGAAATGTCTTTTTTAGGCTTCAACACTATTTGTAATATAATAGTCTGTGTTATATCCTTAGCATTGGCTGTACTTAATAGTTGGTTATTGATCAAAATGAACATTTGGTAGAATGACGAGAACTAGATTATCAAATCAGCGTCTTTTGGCACTTTTGGACATGTTCTGACCAATAAATTTCTATTTTGACGCGTAGCTTTCCGCTATAAAGTCATAACCTACAGACACCAAAGGCACATTTAGAAATATTTTTCAACCAACGAAAATGGTCAAAATTTCAAGAAAAGAGGGCGCAAAACAGCAACGAACATCAAGAGTTTGCTCGTTGATGGTGTCAACTTCTTGAAAAAGAGTCCGCCGATATCCCCGAAGTCATGATAACTAACCTTTTGTCTGTGGAACCACACTTGATAATTCTTAGGGTGCATCTCAATCAAATCATCCAGCAGTAGCAGTTCTTTCTTCAGGTCAGCCTGAAGTTCTCTGATTAGTTTACGTCGGTAGAACCACACAGTGTAATTGGCCGGATTCAGTCTGGCCGCCTTCTCCGTCAGATCCAGGGCGCGCTCAGATACCTCTTCGCTCTTAAGCACTGCACGCATGTAGTCATACACTTCTACGAACTCAGCTAAAGCAAGGCGAAAACAGTTGGAGATTGCTCAGCAATCTGGCAAAATAAGAACAAGTCAAAGGACAACATAACAAATAGATGGAAAAAGGATGGTGAGCTCAGTAAAAAAGCACTCAATCAAAATTTGCTTCCTCACGATAAACAAAAAACAGAAGTATTAAACACTCAAAAACAAACCAGAACGAGGTTTTCTGAGCTGGTGAGATCAAAAGCACTTCATAACTTCAAATTTTGCACTCTTATAAAACAAGGCCTCTGCAAGACTTCTTAAGGCTTCTAATAACCTCCATAAATCCTCCATAAGTATTATCATGACTCACGAGCATAACTTATCCTCGCGATAGTGAATTCCCCATCGTCCTGTGGCAGTGGAGTGACATCTGCCCAGAGAGGGTCAGTTCTGAGGGAGTAGGGAACATAGTAATCGTCATCTACATCTTCATGAATCAGCTGTCTTCCGGTAATCGTTGTGGTTGTACCCGTGTTGTTGCTTTCTAAACCTGTGTCACCACCTCCGCTATTCACGTCATTCATATCTTCGCACACAACTAAACTAAACTCTGAAAAAAAAAGATGTGAAAACAGCAAAAAAAGGACAACAAAAAATGAAACGCGAGTAGCCGGTTGCTGTGCAAGTAGCACAGAAAGTTCCGACCACATTAAAAAAGAACTTCAAAGAACCATATTTAAAAAAAAATTGTGTCGTTTTTATGCGTGATGTGATGAGCGGAACTAGACGAAAGGCTAGTAAATTGAATATAATCGGCAACAGTTGTCTTTGAGAAGAGAAAAACAAAAAAAATTAAAAAAATTGCTGCAGATTATTTTGAATGTTTGTTTATGTTTTTTTTTTGCAAAAGAAGCGCTAAATGAAGTTTCGAAAACAATTTTTTTCTCGCTTAACTTGCTCTAAATTACCCTTCAGCAAAAATTTGCAACCTGTTTTTGTTGATGTAAAAAAAACTATGGATTCACGACTGAAAGGGCTTTAGAACAATACATTACTCGACTCATTCTAAAAAATATTTGTGTTTACTGATTTTGTGCGGAAAAATTCAACTCAACAGCGACAACTTTATCTAAAAAAAATACATAATATTAAAAAGCGGTTGCTGCTCAAGTAGCACAGAAATTCTGACCACATCAATGAGAAATCGGTTTTTCTCGACTGAGAAAAACTTTCGGATTTTTAAATTTTTGATCACATAACGACCTAACAGCCTTCAATGACATATATATCAACCGACCCATTCTAATGATTATTTGAGGTACCTGATTTCGCGTGAAAAATAAAATCAAAAAAGTAAACCAGCCAAGACAAATATACTCTCCACATTCAGTGATCGAAGCATAAAGCATAATTTTTTGAACTTTTAAATATTCAGTACAAAGTGCTTTTTGTAGACTTTAAGGTAGCATGATTAAGTTTATTCGGAACTTTCATGGTATTGTAAAGAAAATGATACGATTTTTAAAAATCTCCTATGCCTAAGTTGCGGGAAACTTGATACGATTTTACTAACTCTCTGAAAGACAGCAAGTACGACTAGAAATAGTCGGTGGGGGAGATTGGTCCTGCACTAAGCAGGCCGGGGGCTAATAAAAAAAAGAAACAGTCGGTTGCTGTGCAAGTAGCACAAAATGTTCCGATCACATTCATAAAAACTACAACAAATTTTTCTTCTTTTTTTTTGAACTAAGTGTCATTTTTAGAACGTGATGTGACGAGAGAACTATGCAAACGCGGAGAAAATTACTGAATTAGGCCCAATGACAACATTTATTTCATAAAACGAATCATAATTTCTATTTTTTGGACAAGTCTTTTTTATAGAGAACTGTTATTGCCACGGAAGCGCTTAATGAAGCTTCCAGAACCAGCTTTAATTTCAGTAAAATCTACTTTTTTTCAGCCTTAATTTCATCTAAAGAATGTTACTTGATCGCTCTTTACGTTTTTTGAAACTAAAATTTTGAAACTGGGTTTTCTCGACACTTGGACAACTTTTTGATAACTTTTAATGACGATCAAATCGAGACTGAAAACTATAGGACTTGTGTGATTCCCGGGGAGCATCCGATTTTTTTCAAAGCAGTTATTTGTTATTGTTCTAAACACACGGTACCTAATTTTGCGCGGAAAACAGAAAAGATAAAAATGTTCGGAAAAACAAAGTTAACTGCTTTTAAAAAGTTTAATGCACGCCGAAAATCACACCACACCTCTAGTTTTAATCTATATTGTTTTGCCCAATGAGCACGGGACGGATCTAGGATTTTTACGAGTGAGCGGATGTTGAAAACGATTTGTTGAAATTTGTCGAGATTTTTATTTCGGTCCTTCAAATTGATTTTCCGAGCTCTCCCAAATTACGATAAAGACCCCTTTTTTGGCCAGATTTTGAAAAACATCTTGGGGTCGCCTTTAGTAAAATTTAGGGTAGATAATCATTTAGAAAAATTTTAGGGTCGATTAGGAAAAAAATAGTTCAAGAGAACCCTTCGAATTCCTGGGAGGCGGGGAGTCCGCCCTCCGTATAAAACCGCTACTGCGAATGATTCATGGTACCTTGAACGAAACACTGACTTCAATTAAAGTCGAAGCCCAGGTGCAATGTTTCTAATTATGCGCGAAAAAACACGCAACTTCAGGCAATAAATGAGAATAAATTAGATCGAGTAGAATAGAATGAAGGAGAATAAATCAGATCGAGCTGCAAAGTTGATGCTTTCAGATACCGGAAAACAGATGCTCCTCAATAGATCACCAAGCCTCACTGGATGGGTTTTTTCCTCTCCACTTCTGAAATTTTACGGATAGTCACTCAGAAAAGGTATCATATTCAAGCCATGTCCTTTGGTCGGTACTTGCATTCCAAAAAATATTTCAAATAATTATCTGTATGGAGAGAGCTGGGCTGAATATTTTTACGATTCAGACTAATTTACCGTTAAAATTAAATTTGGGAACGAGAAAGATTCACTTATCAATAATTTGGTTTATTTAGACTGATATGAACTGCAAACACCATGAAAAAAAAAATTCGACACTTGCCATACGAAAAATAAAAACAGATCGAGTTTTTTTTTTTTCGTTTTTTTTTACAATGACTAATGTTTGGCAAATTCGCTACGTGATCTATGAAAGCTCACTTGACCAAATCGATCCATGCAAAGATAACGATACTCAATCATTTCGTTACATACAAAATGGAACGTTAGTTTCCTTTTTATCAGATTAAATTTGTCATCAAATAGAATTAGATTTTAAAAAACAGGACCCAAGATTGTACGCATTGCGAACATAAAATAAACAGAACAAAATTATACAAATTGAAAAAGAACCACTTTACTTAACAAAATTGTCGACCAATCACTTTTTTAGGGTGTGAAGGTGTCATTTGCATTCAATCTCGCCGAGCGTCACCTTGAACGCTTGAAAACCACGCCATAGCAAAACTCTTGTCATATTTTTGACCCATCTCAGTGGACACTATAATCGTACAAGCAACACTAGGCGCAAGATATCGGTCTTGAAGGCTCTGTCGGATACAAAATGGAATCAGTCAAAGTCATCTTATCAGTTACATGTCAATCTGACAAATTGGTCCAGCTTGGTCCAACGCGGAATTGATACCTATTTCAAAAAACAGCAAAACGTGCATTACGCAGCCTGTCGGATAGCAACCGGTTATACAAAAATGATTCCCATTAACCACCTGCAATCAGTGCGAAATACACCACAAACTACTTGCATCTCAAATTCGTCCTAACAACTTACGTGCCACTACACCGCTTAAATTTAACTTTAACCACCTTGAACTTCAATATAAACTGTGCACAAGCATTATCGACTTTAAAAAAACTTGTAAAAAATCACAAATTTGTAACACTTTCAAGTATATTTACACAAGAGAGCTTCAATTCATAGAAGCTTACCGGCTCAAAGTTCTCCCCTTAAGAACTCCGGAAGTTTAAAACCCGTTGAAAACCGAACAGAATTGCCCTGCTCGACTAGAGGCACGCTTGACCACAAAAATCTAGATAAGACAAGAACTTGATTCTTATAGTAAAACCAGTAATAGGATAGACCCAAACGTCATCTTAACTGTCCCCTTTGCCCGGCAACCCAAAAAGCACTGCATATTTTTAACTGACACAATAAACCTGTAACTTCGGCTGATTCATGTCGCAATTTTCTTGGGACTTGGAGAGAGCATGCGGAACGCGCCGCAAATATGGGGCTAATAAAAAAACCCAGTGGAATTTTATATTAAAAAACAAACATTTAGGAACTATTGAATTAATATACCCGCTTTACCATAAATAGAAAATTAAGATACTAAGGGGTAACAAAGCTGAAAATACCTTGTCAGAAACCCTTTAAGCCGAAAAAAAATAAACAAGACTTCAGATTTCTTGAAAAGTTAATAAGTCCACCTCGCCCTCAAAACACACAAAGAAACACTCAAAAAACTTTATGACCGAAACCTATTTAGCCCAAAAAGAGGAAAATAAAAAAGCCGAAAAAAATTCAAAAAATTTCAGACTAAAAAGAAGTTATTAAGTCCCCCTCAGCCTCAAAACACAGATACCCACACAGAAAACTTCTTTGCTCGTCGAAAGACGCAATTTGAGGCCAATAAACCGATATCATATAGGCCGAAACCTATCAAGCCTAAACAAAAGGAACAAAACAGAAGCCGTAAAAAAATTGTTGTCATTAAAAACTTGAACAATAATTTTTAGCATTTTGCGCGATCCAGTGGTGAGCATAAAAACATGTTTATGGCTCGAAAATAAGTCACTAAGTCGATAAAAAAATTGGCCGAAATCATTTTGGCAGGAAAAAAGTTTCCAAACGAAAAAAAGCGAAAAAAATATATACAAAGTCATTTTAGTAAAATGACAAGCAGCAGAGGTAAACCAGAACGGTAAAAGCAACTATAATGAAAAAAAACTAAAAAAATTCTACAACATGGCAACTCAGCCGACAAAACATAAGCAGACAATAATAATCCGATCATTTTTTTGAAACGGACTATTTCCCGTTTGAAAACAAAAAAGGCCGTCAGATTCGAACCCAGGATTTTTGTCGTCCCAGACGTATTCCAGACTAGGTGTAACGGAGAAGCTTAGAAATTTGAATTCATTATAAACCAAGATACCAATTGATTGAAGTGAATCTGTTAATTAAGTTGTTAACCCGAAAAAAGTCTATATTCCAATTTGATAACGCTTACTAATCGCAGTCAAAAAAATGAGCTCTCAAAACAGCTAAGGAAAAATGCCGGCCGAAACAAAGACAAAGGTAAGCCTTGAAATAATCCGAACTTTCAAGAACCCGTGGGTGTCAAAATCTGACCTCCCGAACAAAAGTCACAAAATAAGCCACGCTGTTTTTGCTCACTATAATACAACACATACTGTAATCTTAAACATCCGGCTGGTAAGTTGCAAATAAAACGGGTCAAGCAAGATTTCCGATTTCATTACCGCATTAGCTTCGCACTATGTGAGACTTACCTCAGAAAAAAAGGACCGATCTTATAACACTATGCTCACAAGCTTGCTTATGTAATAATTGAATTGGCAATGGAGTTTTGTCCACGTAGTACTCATATAGATAGTTTCTTTAGCAACGTCTTGCATCAACGGTCAAATCGCCACAAAAATACCCAGAACGATCTATCACTGCCAGCAAATGATTTAAACATGATTTTTTTCATACTCAGCTTAGTGGGCAGCCCAGCCCGTCAACGAGAAGTTTCAACAGAACAACCTTTTTTAAATCTTTCATACCGGTTTTGCAGTATCATTTCTACATCCTGCGCATTCCTCATCACGTGAATAGGGTCCTAATCTTAATCTGCTTCCCAATGCTAAAATTTTTGAGTATAGAAAGTTCAATTGGATCAATTTGGACAAACTTTATAATGATTACTATTATTATTAAAGAATAAAAATGTCTCCAATTTGAATCTGAATAAAAGCAACATCACGTTTATGAAAAAATACACTGACTCAAAGCGTAAAGAGTATCACCTTCTTAGGAAGAAAATAGCATAGTTTACAATTAAAAACAAATCACGCTAAAAGGCAATTGATATTTGTGATAATTTGGTTAAACAAATACTTAAACAGGAACTATTTTGAAGCTTATCTAGAAAATATAAAAACAACTTCTCCGATAATCTAGAAACGTCAAATATTGATTAAATTAGATTTACAGGATCAAATGAACTACGAAATAGGATTTCTATCACTATCATTGGACTGTTAAACTGCTGACTACGTACAGTTATAATTGAACTCCAGATAAAGACGAGAAAGGCTAACTAATTAGGAACAACGCATTAGATGTCAGCTCAAAACGCCAACTCGAAATTAGTAAGCGTGTTAAAGTAAATCACTACTATTTACATTATTGAATTATCTTCAAATATCACACAAAAACCTTATCGATCTTTGAATATTACGGGAAGAGTTGAATAGGTTCGATCTAAAATGTGTTCAAAAATTGGGAAGAAACGAACCCTGGCCTGGCAGTCGAAAAAATATCACAAAGAGTTTGGATTCTCGTCAGTCGGATATCATTTGATTGCATTATCTATCGGACTTCGGGTTTAACTGCGATGAGCTGTGAACAAAGTTTTCATTCACGTGTCGATACAATTCCTGTTGATAAATATTCGATGAGCCGTTTGATACCAAGCCTCTATTGTACAATACACTATTGTGATCGTTAGTTCTATGTGCGGAAGTTTCAGAAGCTCGAGCCAGGTTGATATTTTCAGGTGATGTTTGGAAGCTTTGCTGCAATTGGGTTGGTGAAATATTAAACACAGCCGCACTGTTATGTGAACTTGAACCGCGCGGAGATTTATTGAAAGCATCTCTCGCGTCGTATGGTTGATGTTTGGACCTGCTGTTTTGAAGATTTGTTGCTGTGAGTGATTGCAAATTGTCGTGATGGAGTTTCGAATGGTCGGCAAGGAACCTAAACTGCTGCTCTTTTTCACCTACACCTGTCGATTGATTGTGCTGCCGTAAATTATCAATTTGATTGCTGCCATTAGTACTTCGTGAACTTAATTCATTTCCTGTAGTAGTTGAACTTAATTGTGCATAGATGTTCTGGATCTGTGAATGAAGCGAAGCAGCGGTGGTTGCATTTGCTTCCGACATTTGCTGCGGTGCTTTGAATGGATAATTAGAAGTCAAATGGGCACTTGATGCCATGATCTCAAGCAGGGTTTTCTGCCCTCCAGTTTGCTCCGTTATTCGTCCACTCCTGCTGGTGGTGTCAGAATGACGTATTGCATCAAAACTAGACGTAGTCGATCCCTCTATAGCTTGAGGGGGTGGTGGGGGTCTTGACTTCTCGATCAGAAGTTGATAGTGGAACTTACATCGGAAAGTGTGATCATCTAATTCGTACATGATCCCCTTCTCGTGTTCCTGGCAAGTTGAGTGATCGCACTGTGAACAAATATAAACTGCTACTTTTCCACAGATATCACAGGCGTGTAAAGGGCATTCAAAATTGGACATAGACGTTCCTAGTTCAGGTGCTTTCAGACAGCTTTTGTGGTAAATTTTTCCACAAAATTGACGTCCGCATGATATCATATCGGGACCGGATCCTTGGTTTCCACAACGGTAGCAATGGTCCAATGGTCGCTCCCTGCGATCTCGCTTCTTCCGTTTTCGATCTTTTTCAAGGTTCGATCCGCCTTTTAGAGGCTTCATACCAATATAGCCACTGCAAGACGGCGAATTGCATTTACATTTCAGTTTAGAATTCCCCAAACAATCCATGTTGTAGTTGAAAGTTAGTTCAGTTCCCGGACAGATATCTGTTAAAGCGAACAGTCCGACTCTGATGTCTCCATTGACTGTCCATTTTTGTGTTTCGCAGTTCGGGTCGCACGAATGATTCATAAATCGCGAAAAGTTTCCTCTCGGACCTGCGTCAATGATTCGCTCTTTATCCAACACACAGAAGTAGAAATTGAAGTCACCGATTGTGTTCTGATGTGTAAGACGTCTTTGACACTCATCGATATCGATAAGATCCCCACAATATTCGTTTACAAAATCTCCTTTCTTGATCCAGACTTTCGTTTTCAGACCCCAGCCTCTGTTTTTGGTATAAGATATCTCAAACCTGGGATACTGTGCTTTCTGGAACCTCTGGTTGCTGCACCGATCTCCAGACCTGCACACTTTTGGATGACACTCAACACAAAGCAACCGGTTCCAACAGTCGCTAGTTGGACCACAGGGGTCAGGATCGGTCACTTTGCATTCACACGGCGTGATTTCAGTAATATCAGCACTGTACACTTGCACGTTGTTGCATGGCACATTTTGATAAACTAATTTATAGTTCTCCGGAACATGTGGCATGTTGAAACTAGAACTGGATTCAGTTTGAACCGTTAGCGGTTCCATTTTTGAACTGGTAACTAAAACACCAGCATGAACTGGCTTCATGCATGGCGAAACAGGGGGTGTGATATTGGTTATTTTGGGGTTACTATTCACCAAAGAATTAGATGGCAACGCTTTTTCTTTCCTCGGTAGAACTTTCACATCTGCTTGTTGGGCCAATTTAAGCTTGCTGGCGCCATTTACATTGAACGCGTCTTCGCTTGTTTTTTCTGCTGTCGCTTTTGATGCATTTGCATTTATCGAAGCCGATGATACTTGTGCCATGAGGGCCGCAGCGGCAGCCACTAATTCCTGTTGTTTTTTGGCAGTTCCGGAGACACGACCTCTTGGTTTTTTAGCTGGACTTGCTGCATTCGCGGACGAAACGGAGTTTCTCTGAGGCTTTTGTTTTGCTGTAGTTGCTTCGCGTTTAGCAGGACTTGCCATTCTGCCTTTTGGCTTCGCTTCTTCGTTTTGAAGTACAGAAAGTAGCGGAGAACCCGCCTCAGACGCGCCTGGTGGTGATAAGTTTGGTTGATTTAGTAGCGGCAAAAAGGAGGTTTCAGGTTCAGGCTCGACTTTGGGAGGAGCTTCTTTTTTCTTGGTAGATTCTGTCATAACAGCTGGCTTAAGCAGGTCTGATGCCTTTGGTGATGGCTGGTTGCTAAGTGACGGCAAGGCTGATTTTCGGGTGAATGATTTGCGTTTAACTAGCACCTCGCTTGCTTTGTCTAAGGCAAGTTGAAAATTCTTCGGATAGTGCTTCTCTCCTGGCTCGTGAAAATTTTTGTCATTTTCGTGAAATAAAAATGTAAGTCCAATATGGACCCAGTGGTACTCCTTGGTCGCGAAGAGTTGCACTATGAACTCTCCCACCTGGTGCGGTTCCTCCAAAGATTTCTGAGGAATGAGTCGGGGGAAAATAACCTCAGCGGGCCACCATCTATAGTTCTGCACTTTGGCCCATAGTATGTCCCCATATCGTGGCCTCAACCCCAATGTGCAGCTATTGCAAAACCAAGACTCTTTTGGAAGCTTGTGCATCCCTATGCATTTTAGATGAAAAGAAGCAGGACATCTTTCGCAGCAGAGTAAACTGCCGCCTTTGGAGCACACAAAACACCAACTGACGTTAATATGTGCGTGATTTTTGTTGTTTTTCACCGGCATAAAATGTTTGCAACATATGATGGAGTTGGGTGCTATTATGGCACATCCAGCCGCAAGACATGCATCTGCATCACCGCAATGGTACGCAACCGGACATCTCACACATCGGTACATCTTCCCTCGAAACACATCGGGTGAGTTTTTCTTGTGGAAACCACAGCTTGCACAGGCGTGTAGAGGGCAAATAAGTTCACGTTCGTAAGACATTCTAGCAAGAGGGTACGCTTTTAAGCAGTCATCATGGTAAAATTTCCCGCAGTACAAAACAGAACATGGTCTTACTTCTCCCGTGTTAATTCTACAAATGTAACATGTGTGCTTGCCAATTTTGCACTCCTCACACAAAAATTCGCCTTCAGGCACCTCTTCGATTCCGAGGCAACTTAAGTGAAATGCGCCAGAGCACCGGCCTTCGCAAAGTAGTAATTCTCCCGAAGTTTCACACGATTTGCATACGAACTCCTTCTTTGCTGCTCGACACCCTGTGATCTCCTCGTCTTCTTCGTCCATATGTCCTTCCGCATTCGCTTGCTCTAAAGCTTCCGCTTCGGTCAACATCGGAATAGGCGATCTGCAGTTGAGATCAGGAATCACTATTAAAGAGTTGCTATCTGAAACTGTCGTACTAGCAGGCGGAATTGAAATCGCCGCTGATTTCACTGGCTTTTTTGTTGACGCAGAGGCAGAGTTTACACTCGTTTGAGTCTTAGCGCTGCTGGCGTTTGGTACTTCATTTTTCCGATTACGACCAGGCGAAGGCTTCGGAGGACTTGGTTCTTCAACTTCTTTTGCCGGAGACTCTTCAGGCTTGGTTTCATTCTCAATATTGACTCCCTTGTATGCATTAGTTCCAAGAGTCAACACACATTTCCTCAGAGGTCGCGCGCGGTTTATCAAGGACTCCTCGTCACCTGGATCTGTTTCGTCTCCAGAGTCAAACTTTTGATCCGGATTTTCGTACCGTTTCTTGTATTTATCTTTGATCTTCTGATCTAAATTTTTCCACTGCAAAAGCAAAAAAGAATCCAGATCATCATCATCGTAATCTGGAAATCTTTCTTTGGCTCTATTTAAATGCTTCGTTTTGTACAGATCGAAAATTTCTTGCACAAAATCCGGGTCATTTTTTATTTTCTTTGAAGGAGTTGCAATCTTCGTAGACTCTTTTTGTTCCACAGCTACAGCAGTTGAGCTTTCACGTTTTCTTGCTGTTTCCTTTTTAGTGATTCGCTCAAGCGGAATTGTCGGGCTGAAAAGTGCTTCTGGAATTTGGTCAGTCTGTTTGAACTTGAGATATCTGTCTAGTCGTACATACTTGTCAGTTGATTTTGCCTCATTTGCCTCTTTCACAGAGTCCTCCCACCACAGTTTCTTACTCGGAGGAACTTCATTTTTCTCGCTTCGTCCGTCCTTCTTCGAGCCCTTTTTACCCTTTGACTTTGGATTCACCGCACTCGGAAGTTTGTCAAACTGCTCTGCATTTTCATATTTCACTAAATTCTTCCAGTTAATCCAGGCACGTTCTGGAACGGATCCAAAAAACTGGACATGGTAGAGCACTTTCTTTCCACCAGCTTGTGCTACTTTGAAGAACATGCTTTGAATGGGGTCATTAGTGACCATCGAAGGCCACCAAGGGTATCCGCTAACCCTGGCCCAAACCAAGTCTCCGGGAGTATGTCTTGGAACCGTATCATCAGAAGCTTCATTTGGACTTTCCCTTTCATTGATATCATCTGTCTGAGGTATCACAAAGTTTCCGATTTCAGCAGTAGAACTCTCTTCTAGAGCTAAATCACTTTTTTCTGTCAGTGAATCCTCAAAGGTCTTGAAAATATTAGTGCTATCTGCTACATCATTTGAATCACTTTTGCTGTCGTTTGAGTTTGCCTCAGCAGAGGGATCTACATTGTTTGAAGTATTGGTAGATCCTGAGTTTCCAGAGCCTGCTAAGTGGTCAGAAGGGGTGGGCGTTGATCTTTGAAGGAGATTTTTTTTCGGAGGCAGATTTGAAGACGTGCTCATTTTTGTCACACTAAATAACTTAATCAATTGTAGATTTTCAAACCAAGGCTTCACACACGAGCTCTCTTCCTCAAAAAAAGTTTCTCGCTTTTCACTCTATGCGCCTCCATAGATAATCTGTCATTATCTACCTATAAGCACACATATTTCCGTCGCACGAATTTCTTCATATATATTATAATATTATACCGTAATTACTTTGGAACCAAGGCTGCAAAAACCCTTGAAAGCAAGTCTGAGTACCTTCCTGGCATAACATTTTTTGGCCTCCGTGGTACCATGTAGCCTCGCTCTCAAAGGCGATTCTTCGCTGTTCATGTACTTTTAATTGAACCATGCAACAACTATCATCAAAACAGCAAGAACAGCTATCATCAAAACTTCAATCGACAAATAATTAATTAGTCACATACAGTCTAATTTCACAATTAAGCACTCATGTAAAAAACAAAAGGGGTCCCTCTTATGAATATTCCCGAATATCTTAGTGAACAAGTTACAACGAGACGATTGATATCATCTAGCTTGAATTTTTGCTTTCAACTACATTAACCTATCATAATTTATTTTAAATATTTGGGAACACATAGAAAAAGACCCCCCTACAATCAATTTTTGTAATTACAACAAATCGGCAATTAAGATTAACTTTTATCATCAAAACTGTAGAATTCCGATATCCAGCCTTTCAGTGAATCCGAAAATCCCAGATTACAGGGCGAGTCAAAATAATGACAGTATCTTTTAACTTTGCGCTGGTCTTTACTCTCCAAAAACAGCTTGTTCTTTTCATCTTCGATAGCCAGAGTTCCCAAATATGGATAAAATTGCGCAAACCTATCTACCCAACTACGACAAGTATTCACTTGGTAACTATTTGTTATTTCATCAAACTTAAGAACTATTTCTTCGTCGTCTGGTGATTCGATTTTTGGTCGACATTCATATTGAAAAGCTGTTGCTGAATTCTCTTTAGTGGTATCTCCAGGCCAAATTTGACAATTTGGTACACTGAAAGTTGTGAAATTGTATTTTGTACTAAATGCGCGCATTTCTAACTTTTTGCTCAAGAGCTCCAATTCCATTTCTGCTTGCGTGGTTTGACTTTCAACCTCCTCGAATCGTGAACTTAGTTTCTTTTCATATTGCTCGCATAAATCCTCGTGAACTTCGCTTATCTCTGTCTTATAACTATAAGGGACTTTGAAATTATCTCCATATATTTCATTTTCTAGAACAGTCTGTAGCCCATTTAAGGCGTAGTGGAAATTGTTCTTTTCCGCTATTTTTGAAATGACCTCTTCGTTAACTGTTTTGCGTTTCGTGATGCATATACACTCTAGTAATGTCTCCACTGCCTGAGTTCGATCCTTGGGCAGATTAAACTTTTTACATGACACGCGCACACCTGAAAGTGCTTCTTCATTGGCCACAGTTAAAACTACAGGTTTGTGTGACATCTGAGCAAGAGTGCAAATAGCTTGAATGAAGTTAGAATCGTCGGCAAGCACAACATCTGCATCGTCAACCAGAATTAGACTTTTCGTCTCGCTTTCCCCACTCGCCATTTTCTGGGCGATCAATCCGTCTTTCAACTGAGCAATGATGTGCTTCTGCGATCGACATTGACTAGTGTTGACTTCAACAACTTTGTAGTTCTGATCAGCAGCAACTGATTTCACAAATGACGTCTTTCCAATTCCTTAAAAATATATATCAATCGAAAATATTTACCTATTTTGATGACAATATGCTGCCTAGGCCTATTTTCCAAGAGATACGTTTTTGCAACCTACAACTAATTTAATTTTAAAAAATTAAAAATTGGTTTTTAAAAATTTTTGTTCCCACCATTCAAAATGCGGAGGAACTTCGTCTTCGGGTATGCTATATTTTTGGTTCCAATTTTCAAAGAAAAAGCGGAAAACTTATGCTGGGAGTGATTTTTTATACAGTCATTTATCGATTGTTTAACTAATTTCTAATAACTTTGAAAAACAATTTTCCAGTGTCGAGAAAACCCAGTTTGATTTTTTGTGTGGTTGTCTAACTTTTCTTTAAGTAGTGAAAAACTTACTTTAACTCCAAAAATAAAACACTTCCTTGCCAAACGAGTTCACCGCAAATCGATTTCAGAAGGAGAAAATATGGATTTTTCGGGAAATAACTCTGAGTATAGCCTAAATTTATTTAAAAAAACTTACAGATTTATTAGATTGATTGAAAATTCAATATTTTAGGTCATTACCAGCATTCAAATGCAAATACATACTTGGGGAAGACATTCTATGGGAGGGAAATTTTGGGGATGTGGATTGTACGGATGATTTAAACGTCTTCAACGCAGAAGCAAAGCAGAGCTTCGCAACACTCGTGATACAATCAAAACATAGCATTATACAATACTGTAAAGAAAAAGGAAGAGTGAAATCGATTGTATTTGAAAAAGTATGCTAATGAAATTGCATGAAATAGGTCGAAAAAACAACAGCAAAACATTTCTTACCGTTGTCTCGCATGACGTTTAAAAACAGTCCTAACAAACATTGAGAATGAAAGACCGAGTGGCAACTAAAGCAGCAAAAATTGAAAATTTTCTAAAACCCATCCCTCCTGAAACATGCAAAAGCATTTTTTAAAAATCCCCTTGAATCTAAGTAACATTAATTGGTTAAGCCGATATAACACAAGCTGACCCCGTTTAACCAAAAAACATGAGTTCAATTATTCAAAATCAGAGTTGGTAATCTTATTAACTACAGAACAACTTTCAGTAGTAGCAAAAACTTCGAATGAAAAACCCAAGGACGGAGAGAAGCAGCTTGAAGAGCGTACCACATAAATCAAATTACATTTGGAAAACGAAAACAGAAAACCAGCCGACAAAAATTATGCCAAAAATTACAAATCTCAAAAAATCACAATTTTTTTAACACAGAGGCGAAGCGATACAAAAAGAAATGACGAAGATTGAAACAAAACGGGAAAAAAAATAAATTAGAAAAAACTCTTTTTTCATCACGAACATTTTTTTCATCACTAAAAATTGCAAAAAAAAAGCCCAAAACATCTAAAATAATTACGTGTACCATTGAAACTATACAAGCTCTCAGAATGATAGAAAAAAGCCGAATACTCATTTCGCGAAATTAAGCCGACAAAATAAAGCACACAGACAAAATCCTAAATTAGCCTAAAAATTCAGCTTGCAAAAAAACGAGTCTTGACTGAAACTCCCGGTCTTTTTGGTCTCAAGCATGGGTGTCAGAGCAACAGGAACGGGAACTAAGCCGACTAAAATAACAGACGGTCGAGAGTCAGAAAAAGCACAGTCTCTATTTAACGCTTCCCAGATGTTGGTCCTACTAGTTGGTGGAGAGCGATTTTACAAATGCATCATTCCCCAAAAAAGAGGGAACAGAAACGACGACACAAGAAGTCCTATACTGAACCCTTTTTGGAAAGAGAGTGGCCCAACAATAGCCAAAACGAGCCCCTCAAACAATACGTACACTATAATGGTCACTATAGCGGCCGGGCGTGCGGGTTAGACAATGACATCAGGTTACGATAATCATGTGCTGCTTGATGGGCATTCATCAGAACCCGGGGCCAAGAGCAATGGACATCAACAAGTGGGACGAACGAAAACTTCGGAAAATGCGGGCTAAGAAAAAGGACAAAACAAGCAGGGAAAAAACAAGTTCAAAAATGGACGCGCATGCTTATCGAAAGGACTGACGAAGACAAATGCAGCACCTTACAGGGAAAGCGAGGAAACAAGAGAAGGTACGGTGGAAAAGCAAAATTTCTGTATGAGTACGAAACGTGGTACTAAAATAGGCACGTGGAACCTGCAAAGGAGCAAAATACAGGCGGATGCACGACGTTGAGTACAGCATATCCTAAAAGCAACAATAGGACATAAATGGGACATCGTCCTTTTGTCAGAAATATCCTCCAAAAAGGAAGGGATACTGTGGTATGAGGAAGACTCGGACCTTATTCACGCAAAACGAGCAGGAGTTTATCTAAAGGAACCAGTGGGCTCAAAATTGGAAAAAGCAACTGGGCCAAAAATGGTTAGTCGAATGGGTTGATATGGTAACGCTGAATACCATGAAGCTAGTTGCAGTCTGCCAGCCACTTTCGCCGTATAACATGAAAATCGAAGAGTACCGTAAAGCGCTAGAGACGGCGATAGCATGCAGAAAGAAGGATGAAATGTTTCTCATCGGAGGACACCATAACGCTCAAATAGGCAGACAGAATAACACGGAACGGGAGAGCAAATAGGAAAAGTTCAGTAAGCGAAAAAATACAGCAGCAAGCGACGAAGTAATCGAATTGGCAGAAAACAACAACTTGGATATCGTGGTCACCTACTTCAGGAAGAACAACAGAAGGACTTGGTGTCATCCTAGTACAGGACATTGGTACGCGTCAGACTACTTCTTGGCAAAGAGGCACAAGGCACAGGAATCTCATCAGATGTTAAGGTGGTACAGGAAGACAGATGGTATAACCAACGACCAAAGATGATCCGAGTTAGCTTCAAGAAAACCAAGGAGAGTTTCAACCGAATTAGACAAGAGATAGAATGGTGGAAGTTGCGCATCGAGAAACAAGATGAGTATCAACAACACATAAACCGTGCCTCGCTTTCAAGGGAACCAACATGGACATTATTGTTCGAAACCATGAGAAGGGCAGCAAAAGCAGTATGTGATTTGGAAGATACAATAAGAAAAATCTGCCAATGGATGAGATGCTATGAAGAACAGGCAATCGAGTTCAAAAACGGAATCCAGAACGTGGCCAGAAAGTGCAGCGCAGCGACGAACGACAACAAGAGAGAAGGCAAAGGAGGAGCTAAAAGGAGTACGCAGAGAATACAAAAAGAAACTCAAGGAATGGGAGAACCAATGATAGAAAATGCTCTTAGCGAAATGCGTGGAAGCTATGCACAAACAGGATATGGGGGAGATGTACAGCATCCTGAAACAGCAAGGACTCAAAAATTATGCAGTACCCAATCCAAAACTTTCAAGCAACGCTTTCAGAAAGATCAAGAACGAGGCGAAGCAAACGGACTGACAGAAAAACCCAAACACAAAAAATCATACGATAGTTCCCACGAACTACGACAGGAAGGCCGACAAATTGCAGAACACTGTAGCTCGACGCCCAAAGAGGGAGATATTATGGAGTAGTTGAAAAAAAGGAAAAAGCACCTGTCGAGGACATTCTCATGATCATTCTGAAGTCAGCACCAGTAGCGTTCCTCAAAAAATTGGTAAAAAAGGTGCAGACCATGTTCACAACAAGAGCGGATCATTGGGACGACATAGTGAAGGTTGCATTTATAATCCCGTTGCATAAAAAAAAGAAGCAAAGGACAATATAGATATTTCCGCGGTGTGTGCTTGCTATCTATGATAAGCATACAACTCGCCAGAGTAATGGCAACAAGACTGAGAGACTGGATTGAGGAATTCGGGGATTTTTATATTAACCAACAAGGCTTCCGACAGAACAGATCTACGGCGGACACGACCCACATATTGATAGGACTACAGTAAGATAACCGAAGTTTATGCACAAGAGTCTGAGCAGAGATAGAGCATGTCTTCTCGATATACGGAAAGCCCATCCAAAAGTCAACCGACCTCTATTATGGAAAAAACTGGAAGGTGATTCAGATTGTCAAGAGAACAATCTTCATCATTCTTGGATCGCGAAAACTCACACTTGATGTTTTTCAGACAATTTTTACCGAAACCGAAATGATACCGAATTCGAGACCCTTGACAATTGTAACTAATTACCCAGAAAATGACGAGCCACTGACACCAAATCATTTTCTCATTCAACGATCTTTCAGCAGCCTTCCACCGGGAGTATTCCACGACAGCATGCCATTAACTTTCACTAAATGGACCCACGTTCAACAGATGATGAACCACCTGTGGAAGCGGTTGAAGAAGGATAACCAACCTTCACTAATGAAACGCCCCAAGTGGAACGAAATGCAACCACCATTGTAGGTTGGAGACATAGTGTGGGTACTCAAACACCTCACGCCCCGAGTTATTTGGCCGATTGGACGTGTGGTGGAGGAACATCCAGGAAGAGATGGCACAACACGAGTGGTGACCATGAGAACGGCTTACGGCACTCTCAACCGCCCCGCTACTGCTCTTTTTGATTTTTTGTGCAACGCTTTTTGCGCCGTTTCAGACAATTCGGGGCCGCAGGGAGTATGTTGCAAAAGCAACTACATTTTCCCGATCTTTGTAAATCAAAAGTCACTGTGATCAAACATTTGTAATCTCTTTGATATAAACACTCTCGAAACATACCAGAACTAAGAGAGTTGACTCTTGGAGCCATGTTTTGACGTAAAGTGACAAGTCAACTTCATGTTTTGGGGTGGGCGCCAAAACATGTAGTTGACTTGTCACTTTACGTCCAAACATGGCTCCAAGAGTCAACTTTCTTAGTTCTGGTTTGTTTCGAGAGTGTTTATATCAAAGAGATTACAAATGTTTGATCACAGTGACTTTTGATTTACAAAGATCGGGAAAATTTAGTTGCTTCTTCAACAGAAGGGAATTGGTTCGGGGGAGATTTCCTTGGACTCTAAAGGACCTGCATGAGGAAACAGAATACAAGGGTAAAGGCAACAAGGAGCTTAGCTCCAAATCGACACCGCAACGCGGATTGAGGGAAGGATGTCCTTCTTCACCTAAATGTTTAGTATTTTTCATCAGATTACAATGAGAGCTGCGGAAAAGCAGCGTAAAGTTAATGGACTGAAGATCTCGTATATATCCAACAAAACCTGCAAGACACAACGAAAGGATAAAAGAATAAAGAAGCGAAACACTGATATCTTAACAACACCTTGCTTGCCAACGACACTACAATTCTGAATAATAAGGAGAGCATGGACGACGCGAAAAACAGGAGCAAAACGTAAAACTGGGCGGAAACAGTGCGGCAAGAAGCAGATTCTTAGGCGTGTGGCTAGGTGAGTCCGAAAATAATAAATTACGTATCCAACAAGGAACGGGGGGAATGAAACAAAAATGAAACAAGGTTAAAAAGCGTCTCAAAAACTCAAGATTAACAAAAAGGACGTAAGCACGAGTTCCAAGAATCAAGCGCCACTAAAAATAGAACAAAAGCACAAAAAGAGATGGAATGTGAGAAAAGAACTTCGAGTTAAATCAACCTGAATGAATATCGAGAAACGAAGCATGAACGGCTAGGACAAATGATGCGAATGCCTGAAGACAGGAGAGTAAAGCATATAACCGGTTGGCTGAGTAAGCTGGAAGATACTTTAAAACCAAAAACAAAGTACCGATGCACCCCCACACTGGAATAAGTTAACGTGGGAAGCAGACATGGACCAACAAGAGATAGAAGACAAGGCTCTGAACAGGAAACAGTGGAAAGGAGTCGGATGTCTTACTCGATGGGAGGAGTCGATGGGAGGAGTCACAAGAGAACGGTTGGGAAGGAAAAAAAATATCGAGCGATCACAAAGAAAGAAGTGTTAACACGGAATGAAAGCATTGCGAACAAACAACCAAACTGAGAAGAGACCTAGCGACAAATGCAAGGAGAATGCACAGAGAAAACGAATACGAACCCACATGCAATAGACTCGAGCAGCCTTCAAACAAAAATCAAACCTGGAAAACCACGAAAAGAATTTCTGTGGTACAACAAGCCCCACAAAATACGTCCCATCAACGAGAAAATGTCCATTATGGAGAAACTGACATCGGCAACAAACCTGGCCCAGCACACAAAGTTCTGCAGAGGGCGACAATAGGGCCATTACGGGGTGAATACCCGAGAGAGAGAGAGAGAGAGAGACTCTAGTTAACGAAAAAAAGCTCCCAGCCGGATTCTTCGAGACACAAACCTTTGCCGTCTCAAGCAGTTATGTAAGCTCTACGCCAGATGCGCCCGATCATTGAATGAACGTATAATTACCATGGGATAACATAGCTGAAAAACCTGAGCAGAGACCCTTCAAGACAAAAAACAAATGCAAACTAGTAATTCTCTATTCCCCTCAGAAAAGACACACCGCACAAAAAAGTTTCTAGCTTCTCAAGCGACGCAAAAGGAGGCCACTAAAAATATATAAAAAATGAAAACACAAACAGAATAAAAAACTAAAAATAAACAAATCGATTTGGTAGAATTTCATGCAATTTTTAAACCAAATTCCGATTCAGCCGGATATTTAAAATGCTTAAACACTAAAAGCAACTACAAAAATAATTGTTTACAACAACGGTTCTAGGTTCTCAAGCGACGCAAAAGGAGGCCACAAAAAATATAATAGAAAACGAAAACAAACAATAAAAAAAAACGAAAAATAAACAAATCGATTTGGTAGAATTTCATGCAATTTATAAACCAAATTCCGATTCAGCCGGATATTTAAAATTCTTAAACACTAAAAGCAACTAGAAAGATAATTGTTTACAACAACGGTAAGCTATTGTTAGATGTGGCAACTAAGCCGACAAAACATAAGCAGGCAAAAACTAAGCCGAAAATTTTATCTGAAAAGTTCCGTTTGAACAAAAAAAACAGATCCTGGTCAGATTCGAACCCACGATTTTTGCCGTCCATTCGTTACTTCTACGCGAAGTGTGCAAGAGACACTAAGAAATTTGAATTCATCAATAACCAAGATACCAACAGGAGTCCAGGCGAGTCGTCTGAACAAAATTATTCACGGGGAAAAAATATACTAACTGATTGCAATACCCAAGCTCATCGCAAGGGTAACAAAAATAGTTACCCTTGCTCATCGCAAGGGTAACAAAAATAAAGTTAATTACTATAGAAAATGATCTGAGCTAATTTTATTTGAATTTTAAAGAATTTGAGCATGTTCATTCAATTGTACTTTTACGTGCAAGAAAAGTTTTTAACGGGAAAAAAATCTAGTTCCAGATTACAAGTCACTTGCCCAGTCAAGTGAAACAAAAATTAAGCATAGGCGAAGCTGAGCTGCGCGATACAAAACAAAAAAGCCAAAAGAATGTGAAATACATTAGAAATGGATATTAGCATCGGATGAAATTTTACCAAGCGGTAACAAAGTCGACAGTACCTTAGCAGAAAATCTTTCAGCCGAAAAAATCAACATGACTTGAGACTTCAAAAAGATAAAGCTCCCTCGGATTATTTCCCATATGAAAACAAAAACAGGTCCTGTTAGATTCGAACCCATGACCTGTGCCGTCCCAGCCGCATTTGTTACCTCCAAAGAAAAGTGCCGTAAATACCAGGGGAGGATTTAGGGGGGGGGGGGGGGGCGGACGCCTCCTCTCAGGGATTCGACCCCCTGCCGACCCAAAGGGTCCCTCCTTTGTGCTATTTTGAGATTTGCATTTTTGGTGACGGGCCCAAATATTTTTCTAAATGCGCCTTTGGCGCCAATATATACTAATTTTGAGGGGGGAACGCGCGTCGAAAAACCGCGATTTTTGGTCAAAACTTTCCAAAAAATTGCCTAAAAACGCCTTGTTTGGACTGCTTTTTCATTTTCAAAATTTTGCCTGCGGCGCAGAAACTTTGGCCCAATCAGGTACTAAACAGTGCTTAGGAATAGCTCGAAAAATCATTTCGGTCGACCGTAAGAAAATCCTGGATCCGCCCCTGGTAAAGACAGAGAACTTTGAATTTAATATGAGCTGAACCTAAATTTACCTTTCTAATTTTGACAATTCTGTGAACGAAGTTATTTATGGGAAAAAAGATTAGTACCCGATTGCAATACCCTTGTTCATCGCAAGGGTAAAAAGTATTAATAATTTTTTTCTTCTTTTAAAAACAATTGTTGTCGATTATTATGCTTGCTGATTTTCTACGCGTTCGTATAATTCTCTCATCATTCCACGCACAAAAAAAAACAGACTTTAATATGGGAAAAAAAAACTTTTTCTTTAGCTTTGTGATGAATATGGCCGGAAAACTCTGTGCTAATTGCACAGCAACCGGATGTCCTTGTTGACTATAATGGATAGATTCATTGTTTTCAAATCTACCTAAAACTAATTCAAGCCAAACTCAGCATAACATAATTATGGTTTTTAAGTGTTCGAAAAACCAAAACAAGAAAAAAACTATATGAAACTCGCAGTCACATAGATAGCTAATGTTGACTAACCTGGAGGACCCGACACTATTGCAACACAAGTTGATTCAGCGTTTAACAACAGTTGCTCTTCTTCTGCGTCTTCTGTCCTTCGCTTACGTAACACCTCTAGCACTTTATTCGTGGCCATACTATATGTTATCAACCAATTAGCAAAGTTCTCAGCATGGCTCTTCAAGCCCAGGATATCTTCGCTAAATGAGGCCGAAAACATATCTGAATATAATTTGTTGCTCCAATCTTGATGAACTAAGAACCGGCGCAGCATCGGTCTGATCGAAAAATCACGGTGCTTTGATTCGAGGTTCTTCACACATTCACGCGAATCATCTTCAGAGAGATCTCTGATTGATATTGTATACCTAGTGTCAGCTCGAACAGTAGAAACTATACTTTCTAATGACAAATCTCCTTGCAAAAACTGCATGGCATCGAAAGCGAGATCTTGCAAAAAAATTGGCATTTTATACCCAGTCATAGGTTTTATTTTTTCTTTCTTGGTTTCAACAGATGTTATACACGGAAATGAAAATGGATCCAGTTCCATTATTTGCCCGGCCAATCTATCGATTTCTTTGGCTGTGACATTTGCTATAGACTTCGGGAGAACTATCATAGACTGTTTGAGAGAAGACTCTTTTTGGGCACGTAATTCTGCTTTTCGTTGGTTGATGTCCTTGAACAATGATGGCACAACTCCGTTGTTGTTAATTGATGCAAGTTGTTTAGAAACATAAACTTTCTTTGGTTTTGGTTGTAAAATACTTTCATCGTCTCCCAAAGAAAAACTTTTTCCTGAAAAAGTGTTTTCTGTCTTCTGACGTTTAGGTGACGCAAGCTCATCGAAGTCATCTTCATCTTCTTCGTACTTGTGAGCAACTCTCGATGCCCTTTTCCTAATTCGTTTAACACGACGTGTATTCGACGCCTTACCATCGGGGCTTAATTGACACGGCGATGATTCGCTGTCTGATAAATTTTCACTGTATAGCTTTTGCGTCGACCTAGTTTTGCGAGATTGCTTTGTCTTGACAGGTGATTTGGGCGAAGTGTCTGTTTTCACGTTATTCTTGGCCGATGCTTTCGTGAGTATGTCGAAGGCATTTTTCATCCTGAAATGAAGTTAACGTTCCCCTTTTATCAGTAGAGTAGTTTTGTTGCAACCACTCGGTTTTTTTCCAGCGGTTGAAGACATCCCAAACAGTGTTCGTTCGGGTTCCAACGTGGTATCATATCGGACACTTTTACAGGACAGTAACACATAACATTAGGACGACAAATGAGCAGTATAAGACTTTAAGTAGAAATAAGATTTAAAAACGTATGAACATTACGTCAAGGGAAACAAATTCAGTTTTTCTATTACAATCGTTGAGTAAAGGAGCATGAAGAAAAAGAAAGAAGTTTATCGAAAAAGCAGGAAATTTCCAATGACGGAAAAGAACCGGAAGACAAAATAATAGAAAATATTTTATATATAGAAAAAGCTAATTCTTGCCGAGTGACTAGCAAACCAAACTGGAGAATTAATGGTATTATGTTATACGAAGATTTCTTCAAATTAAAAAAAAAGATGATTTTTTTTTCAAATTGATTTTGTTTTCTTTATTCTTTGAGTGTCTGAATTATGGTGAACACATGAAATTCGTGATTCCGAAGTTTTTCTTACAGATTACAACTTTTATCGATCAAATAGAAAGTGATCGCCCAAATCTTCAACCGATAGGGGAACTTTGAGTCGTGTGTTAAATAATTTCTTATGTCCAGAGCCTGCAAAGTTCAAATTTAACACAAATAAGATGGTAGAAGCAAGTCATTTCGGGCTAGAGATTATTGATTGTATTTTGTTATTCGCCACCTTCGAAGGCAAATGTTTTGAAATCAAATGAAACACGTAATTTATATAAAAAAACTGTTTATATCGGTGTGATATGACATCAAACGAACCATTAGGTCAAGTTTTAACTTTTGACACACTATCAACTGGCGTATTTGATCTGGTCTTTACCGGTAAAAAAAATCAAAACCCAGATAGGAATAATTTCTTGGGAAAGCTTTTAAATCATCATGCTATCATGGTTATTTTTAAAAAATGAATTACCAAATTTAACTTGTCGTTAATTGTCAAAGAACTTAGTTTATCAAATTCAGTTTGTCAAACAAATATGGTGAACACATGAAATTCGTGATTCCGAAGTTTTTCTTACAGATTACAACTTTTATCGATCAAATAGGAAAAGATCGCTCAAATCTTCAACCAATTTCGATTTGTAGGTTAAATCAATTTCTATGTCGAGAGCCAGCAAATCTTAACTTTGACACCAATAAATTGGTAGAAGCGATTCATTTTGGGCCAGAGAAGCTCAAACTATCGATTGTCTTTTGTTATTCACCGCCTTCGAATTCAAATATGCATGAAATCAAAAAAATAAGGCCTTTTTTCAAAAAAAGTGAAGTCGGTATAGTATGACATGAAACAAACCAACTAAGTCAAATTGTGGGTTATGATACACTATCAGTTGACGTATTTGATTTGGCCCTTACCAGTACAAAACAATTCAGAACCCAGATAGGAGTAATTTCCTGGGAGAGCTTGCAAATCATTATGCTATCATGGTTAATTTTAACAATTGAATTATCAAATTCAACTTGTCGTTAGTTGTCAAAGAATTTAGTTTGTCGTTAGTTTGTCAAATTTAGTTTGTCAAACAAATATGGCGAACAGAAGAAATTTGTTATACCGGGCAGCTTTTCTTTCAGACCTTAACTTTTACCAATCGATTAGGAAATGATCGCTCAAATCTTCAATCAAATGGGGGAACTTTTATTTGTAGGGTTAATCATTTCTTATGTCCACCGCCTGCACATTTCAATTTTGACACCAATAAATTGGCAGAACCAAATCATTTCGGTCTAGAAAAGCACAAATTATTGATTGACTCTTGTTAGTCTCCGCCTTCGAAAGCAAACATACATGAAATCAAAAAATATATACTTTTCATAAAAAAATGATGGAGTCGGTGTGATATGACATGAAACAAACCAACTCAGTCGAATTGTAACTTATGATACACTTTCATTTGGCGTATTTGATTTGGCCCTTACTAGTACAAAAAAATTCAAAATCCACATAGGAGTAATTTCCTTAATTTGGTAATTCATTTTTTAAAATGAATTTGTTGTTTTTAAAAATGAATTTGTTATCCCAACAGACGGTTGTTGTTGTCGTTGAGCCGCCATTTGTCGCTCCTTGAACTGCTTGCCGGATCAGTCTTCTTCACTAATCCCGAGACCCTTCCGGATTGAGCGCAAATTAGCATTAACGTGCTTAAATACTCAAATAACCCTACAGTCTCACAAACGGGCCACACAATTAATCGTAACGATCTCAACTGATATAAATGCCTGTAACAACACTATATCTAACAACAAACGGGAGGGTCGGATCACATCTCGTCTGGGGGGATACTGACTTTATACTTTTTTTACAGTCATCAAACAGAATTTACAAAATGCCCGAAATCACTTTTATCCACTTCATATTGACTCACTGCAGAATGTAAATGGCATCATACTACATAACTATAGCCTTCCAAATTCTTTCACTAATCTGCACTTTCGAGGATATGACCTAAACTAAAAAAATTTTTCTGACTTCCAATGTCAATGCGCTGATTAAAAATTTTTTCTCCTAGATTTTAAAAAGTGTTAGTTTGCAGGACAGTCCTGCTAACCAACAAGCTAAAATTATCCTACTATGCTTCTTCCTTCGGAAATTTAGTTGTTATTGTTCCTGAATATTAAAACTAAGGAACTTTGAGGTTAGAAACAATAATGAAACAATCTACCTCTTCAAGGGATTATCCAAGCCTTTCATGTCACCACAAAGTGATCAATCGTCCTAGTTGATTAAAAACAATCATGCCGGCTGGAAAATTTAAATATGCTCTTCACTCAGACCTTCCTAAATAAATACTAAGTGTCTCTAAAGCCACTAACTAAAATCAAAATGCAAATTTATAAATGCAACAAATTCTTTAACGTTTATAACTCAACTTAATGTTTTCTTTCAGTTTCAATTACAACTTGGTTGCTTTGTTTCTCAATTGAGTTTTTTGTCACATACAAAACATTTCTGAGTTTTGACTTCTTTTTCTTTCGTAACTTCTTTGTTTCTTCTTTTCTCGTCATTTAGAAGTTCTAAAACTTCTAAATTCTTAGAATTTCTTTCTTTTTGCATCTTGTTCTTCGGCCATTTGTCAATGTTCATCTCCTCCTCCTGCGACATTGACTCTGCACTTTCAGTTTTTGTGTCTTGCACCACATCGTTAGCTAACAAGGTAGGGGATCAACAAGGTAGGAGATCAACGTTAGATTCTCTGTTCCGGTGGTCACTGCATTACGATGAGTTACAAAAGCTCGCTTGAAAGCTCCTGCTCCAATGTCCAGCTGATACGCACTGTACACTCTGCTGTGCTTCAACATATGCTTCTTAGCATATTCGTACAAACATGCAGTCATGTTGGCTTTAAACCATGGCATCAATCGTCTTCTGGCCCATATCTTTTTCACTTCCATCGGAACGTTCAAGATTTTGCACATTGTCTCAAAAAGATCTAAATCTTTTAGACAATCCAATCTCTGCAATTGTTCTCTCGTCGGCGCCTCCTGTCTATTGTTCTCTTTCACATGAAATTCCAGCCATCGTATCGCCATCATAACTCCCAATATCACTATCGTTTTGGGCCGTGATGAGTCCCAGATCAACACTAGATTACTACGCCCGGGGTACCACCATGTTTGCAACAAGCAATGGCAGGGAAACTCATCATGTGTTGACATGATGCTCCTCCAATTACGCTTTCCCGAAGCTTCCAGTAGTGGTTCCACTTCCATCATCACTCGGTGGACTTCATCATTCTCATCTACTGCATTGTAATCCGTGACTGTCGATCCTTTCTGCTTCTGTCTTTCAAAGTCACTGAAGTTCCCACTGGCGTATCCCATGAACTTCTTTCTCAGTATCGATTCTAACTCTTTTTTAGTTCTCTCCGGAACTGCTGAGAATATTATGCACAGTAACTCATAACATTTTTCTGACATTCTCGCTAGTCTTACCCATTTTGGCACCGAGAAGTCTTGATCCACGATCGTTCTCGTACTTTTCACATCCACAGCTACAAAATGCACTGGGTATCTGCTCTTGCACATTGGAGAATCTCCCTATTTCGTCTATTTGCCTCATGGTTTCTAGTTCCACGGGTTCTTTCATGTTCACTCGCATTGGTTTGCTTTGATGCATATCCAGCAGTGCTAGCAAGAACAAAGCTTTCGCTCGTTCATTGCCTTCCCTTAGCATCTTGACACAGGTGTTCAATGCTGGCACTGACATTTGTTCTATCATGAACCGGATGAAACAGAGAGCGTCTCTCCGCTTCGCGCACGCTATTGCCGCTTCCTTTTGGGTTATCAGATCTCTCATGCTCGTCATTAGGAATACCTTTTCTTCCTTTGATCTTTTCCTTTTTTCTGAGTCATATTCATCGCGAGTTAGTCCGATCATGCACCAGACGAACCTCAGTTGTAGCTCAGTTCTCACGTAAGGTACTGCTATCAGAGCGTGTATCTTCAGCGTGGTTCTCATTTATTCTCCGAAAAACCGTATCACTACCGCTCTCCATGGAAGGCTCACCAACTGCTCTATCGTTTCTGCATGCATCTCAGACGATACCAGAGTCCCGTATGCTTTCTGCTTCAGGGTGGTGCCTTGCATCATCGTTTCCAAATAACCTTCCACGGCACTTTGGTCTTCCAGAGCCATCAAGTATCCTCTGGCCGAATTTCTGTACTCCAACATCTCCATGTACCCATTGGCGGGTTCATCTATTGATACAGTATCCGACACTGTCAGTCGGTTACATTCCACTGGGACTAGCTGTCCCACAACACTTTCTTTTCCGTGGTTTATGGGATACGGTTTAAAGTCTTTCATAGTACTCTCTCCACATTGGCTGAGTTTTTCCATTTCTAATGTTGCTCCAGTCAGAGTGCGGTCACTCCTATTGGTTTTGTAACCAGTTGATTTTACCCCTGCCATGAGAATAGGTGGCA